ATTAATTTATCATAAATTTTTATAAGCAAAAATCTCTGTTCTCCAACCCATAGCTCATAGATTATGCCAAAATTATAAAACTTACAGTATATAGAGTCTTCTCATTTAAGATGAAAATACATTTCTGTGTGATTAGTTTCTATCCAGAGACTTTTGCAATTAAATTCTTAATGGATTAATTGGAAAAATTATCGACAGATGAATCAATTACCAAAATGATCATTAGTGGCAGCCCTAATGGGAAGATCAGCTCATAGTTTAGAAAATCTTTAACTTCTAGCAATAAAATATACAGATTATTTTAAACGAAATATGATTCAGATCCAAAACTGGACGTTATTCAAAACATCTGAGCCTACGAGTAAAACTCACTGTTTGGTTGATCCTGTTTCCTTTCCTGCGGTCTGTGCAAAAAAAAGCTGATTTTCTGCCATATGGAGGCTTCAGGTGCAGGAGGCATCATAAGGAGAGGAGGAATGATAAAGAAAGGGGGAATCACAAGGAGAGGAGGCATCATAAGTGTCACAGAGGGAGGTGATTTGACAGGACCCAAATGCAGATACATGAGCTTGAGGTGGTTACCTCAAGGTTTAATGACAAAAGTTCAACAGCAGCAAAAATCCAAAATCATAAATCCTCAAAATTTCAAAAAATGCTGAAAACCAGGAATACTCACAACAAGATGGAGACAAAGTAATGACGACAAACCAGCAAAGAGTGACTGAGCAGGAGGAGGATATATAGGAGAGAGAAACAAAGACCAGGATAATTAGCAGATTGGGAGCAGGTGTGAACAGAGGAGACAAGAAGGGAGCTAGAAGAAGGAGACTGACACAAGAGGGCAAACAAGAAATATCGAAGAATTTAAAAACAATCAAAAATAACTAGAACACAAGAATGAAAAATAAGACCAATGAAAACTCGGAGATAAAACTTTAACAAAACCATGACAATAAGGAGAAAGGAATCATATGGATAGGAGGAATGATAAAGAAAGGGGGAATCACGTGGAAAGGAGGTGTTTCCTAGTTTTAGTTTGACTTTACTACTGCTGCAGTTTAAAAATCACAATTTAATGTCAAAAAGCTAAATTCGGAATACAAAATATTTTTGTTTTTCTTCCATAGCAAAAATGTAAATAAAAATAAAAATTATTGCACTTCAATCTAAGACCCATTTTATAAAATCAGCTACAATTATTTACATATTAATAAATGTATTAGCTTGAGTATTAAGATGGTAAATATGTGGGAGACAAAGGTGGAAAAATTAAGCTTCTATTTTTGACTTTATAATAAATGACTTGAATATATTAATCATTATTATTCTTTATTGTTATGTCTGGTTTTAATTTATATATTAACTTCAGTTACACATGAGGTGTAATAAAGTGAAATAAATCTTCTGGACACTGTTTTTGTTTCACTGAATTATTTCACCATGGGTTACCGATTAGGTCTGTGCTGCAACTGTTTCATAGACAAATAACTTCATAAAGCTTTGGCTTCTTTACTTCCACTAACCCCGTATGCCGACTCCTCAGGCGCTCACCATGCTAAGTGCTTGAGCTGCTGATAAGCAGATAACCTCAGAGACCTTCATCTTCATCGTCGCCTAACGTTTAGTGTTTCCAGATCTTAGAGCTTCTTGGTCTTTGAGAATCGTTTCAAGCTTTTGCCAGTGAGACAGAAGCTTCATCCATGATTGTTCTGAAACAAATTCATCATGATCCTGACAGGAGCCAAGCCTGCCTGACATACCTAACATGCAAACACACACACACATATGCACTGATGCAAACTGCAGCCAGAGGCTCTCCACACACCCAGCAAGTCAGTGGGAAAAAAATGTGATAATGTAATTATCTAATAATTATAAGTTGATATTTCTACAGATTTTTACGTCATTAATGACACAATTGCTGAAGATCTTGGGAAAACAAACAAGGTCCAAAACAAAAACAGGTGCACGGACAAAACTGCAATGATTCAACCTCTTCTCACATAATTAACCTCTGCATAGTTCTGCACGTTGTTCTGTTTGCCTACAGATTTGCTCTCCTGCACACAGCGTGATGCCTTCAGGGCTTCACTCCGAATCAGATTTGTCTGCAAACATTATCTATTCTGTGATTTTCCAGTTTATAACCCTGCTGATGGTCTCCTGCAGCAGTAAACAGGTAACACAATGACACAAGGCTGAGAGGAAAACAACCCAGAGAATGCAGGAAGCAGCAGTCACACTGCAGGGCAGAGGGGGTGATGCTGACCTCCAGAACAGGAAAGGCCGAGACAATGAGGGGAGGTTTCCCCCACAGCCGCGTCACACAGGGACTCTGATCCTGCTTTAATCAATCTGCTGCAGGTTCATCAAACACATCAGAAAATACATCTACAAGTTATCTGAATAAAGGAGATTTCACATCTAAACAGAGCAGGTGTGTGGTTTTTAAATGTTCCCTAAATACTCAAAAATCCAATTCAGTTTATTTATATAGCTCCAATTCACAACACATCATCTCAAGGCAGTTTACACAATTCAGCAGAACATCATGTCAAATTGATTCAAAGTTTTCTATCTAAGAACAAACCTACGGAAGAGGATTAGGGCCAGTGGAAAAAAAAAAAATTAACTGATTTTTAAATTTTATTTCAGTTTAGTATGGGAAAAAAGTCAGAATTCTGAGAAAAAAGTCAGAATTCTGACTTTTTTCTCAGAATTCTGACTTTTTTATTGTCAGAATTCTGTGATTAAAGTCAGAATTCTGAGAAAAACGTCAGAATTCTGACTTCTTTCCCATGTTAAACTGAAATGAAATTTAAAAATCAGTTAATTTTTTTTTTTCAGTGGCCCTAATCCTCTTCCGTACAAACCAGTTGATCTTATTGAAAAATCACATTTAAATGTAGAAAATCTGCCTCATAATGAATCTGACAGAGAGGAGAGCAGATGTAACCCTCTCTGATGAAACCATGGTGATCACAGAGGATCCTCTGTGACTCTGGAGCTTCAAGGATCATCTAAAGTGTCCATGATAAGAATCAGATCTTTCCAATGTTATCATAGGAAAAACTTTCAGAAACATTAAAACCACCAACAGAACTAGAAGCTACTGGAAAAACAGAACATTCAACCTTCAGAGATGTTTAACTCTGATTAACCCAAAGATGCATCAGAGGAAACATTCATTCATTCTAAATCAAATATTAATTCAGGATAAACTTATTAAGTCAAGTTGAACAGCAGATGAATAATAAATCCCAGCTGTGTGAAGCTGCGATGTATGAAGGACCAACTCTGCCATATTTAAAAATAAATACAGAAATAAATAAATGCTCATTAAATGTATAAGCATACAATTAATTGCCAACAAAAAAGTGAGACATAAATGTATATAACTCTTAATTAGCTTCTTTATTTATTTGCCTTTGTAATATTTACCTTATTTATTTTTCTGTCCTTTATAGTCTTCAACTTTATTTTTTTAATTACTTATATTTTTAAGTATTTATTTATGTGCATGTTATAATATTTTTGTCTGTTTTATTCTTCCTTTGTATTTTTTTACCTTAGTTATTTCTTCGCCGCTGTTTATTTCTCTCTGCCCTTTTTACATTTCTCTATGTATTTATGCCTCATTATGCAAATGAGGAGGGGGTGTGTCCTAGAGAGTCAACTTCTGCTCATTGGTTGGCTTGGCGGTCCATCTCCTTAACTCACAGAGCTCAGAGTACTAAGTTAAATGTTCTCTTTTCTGTTGCTGTTGTTCAATAAAAGTACGTTTTAAGATCATTTGAGGCGAGAACCTTATACTTTTAAGCATCACCATATGGCCCATTCACAGATTTAATGCGTAATTTAAAAGAAAATGTGACGAACTTGAGAGGACCGTGGCAACCAGCGGAGCTCCGAAGCTGATGGCAGCCAGGTCTATAGCCAGGCTATGATGGCGATTTTTTGTTGTATTTGGCAAAGTTTGGCAAAGTCCCTACTCAAGTTCTAATGACTTCAGACTCGACATCAGACTCTCCTCCTGTAGATTCGACCGATGTAGTAAAATGCTAACCAACACGCTTCACACACGGCTATGCCGAGAGAGGGCCGCTGCAGATGGGCTGTGGTTAGACCTGGCTGCCGTCAGCTTCGGAGCTCCGCTGGTTGCCACGGTCCTCTCAAGTTCGTCACATTTTCTTTTAAATTACGCATTAAATCTGTGAATGGGCCATATGGTGATGCTTAAAAGTATAAGGTTCTCGCCTCAAATTATCTTAAAACGTACTTTTATTGAACAACAGCAACAGAAAAGAGAACATTTAACTTAGTACTCTGAGCTCTGAGAGTTAAGAAGATGGACCGCCAAGCCAACCAATGAGCAGAAGTTGACTCTCTAGGACACACCCCCCTCCTCATTTGCATAATGAGACAGAAATGCATAGAGAAATGTAAAAAGGGCAGAGAGAAATGTAAAAAGGGCATAGAGAAATGTAAAAAGGGCATAGAGAAATGTAAAAAGGGCATAGAGAAATGTAAAAAGGGCAGAGAGAAATGTAAAAAGGGCATAGAGAAATGTAAAAAGGGCATAGAGAAATGTAAAAAGGGCAGAGAGAAATGTAAAAAGGGCAGAGAGAAATAAACAGCGGCGAAGAAATGACTAAGGTAAAAAAATACAAAGGAAGAATAAAACAGACAAAAATATTATAACATGCACATAAATAAATACTTAAAAATATAAATAATTAAAAAATAAAGTTGAAGATTATGAAGGACAGAAAAATAAATAAGGTAAATATTACAAAGGCAAATAAATAAAGAAGCTAATTAAGAGTTATATACATTTATGTCTCACTTTTTTGTTGGCAATTAATTGTATGCTTATACATTTATTGAGCATTTATTTATTTCTGTATTTATTTTTAAATATGGCAGAGTTGGTCCTTCATAGCGATGCGCCTGCAGCGCGTCAGGAAGCGCATCTCAGCCGTTTGGCTGTTTAAACTCACCGGTCAGAAGGTTCCTGAGTCTGAGGAGAATCTCTGGGTTAATCTGAGCTCAGGTAGAAGCAGGACGGATCCTGGAGTCACCGCGCAATTTGGAGATGTTCCACCTGAACTCTTCTGCCGTTATAAACTAACTGAGAGCGCTTCTTCATCCGCAGCTTCTATCTGCCTCTGCTGCGTTCAAAGACTGCTCGGAAATTCTGGTCTCGAAACAGAAAACGAATTGTCCCTCCGTTTAGTTTGGTTTAGCCTTAGTTTTATTAATTCAGGTTTAAGCCCGTTCGTTTTTTTTCTTTCCTGGTTTGGTTTAGGTTGGTAAAATTTAGTTTTCTTATTTTCTCAATCAATTCAGTTCAGTGATATAGAAATAAGCCTTTTTGGTCAGTTAAATTATATTCACACTGAAAAAAATAATGCTTTTGGCATTTACTTAATCACATTTAGTTGCTTTAACACAATTGATTTATGTCGTTTCCTAACATGAAACACTTGTGTTAAAGTAACCGGATATGATTAAGTAAATGCCAAAAAAAACGGATGCATTATTTTTTTCATAGCAGGTATTGCTGTTTTTATTTTGTGCTTTTTTGGTGTGGTTTTACATTTTATTCACACTGAAAAAAAACTTGTGTTACTTTAACACAATTGTTTTATGTCCTTCCATCTTTACATGAAAAAAGTGTGTTAAAGTTACTAAATATGATGAAGAAAATGCCAGAAATAGTTGCTTTATTTTTTTTTCCAGTGCAGTTTAGCTCACATTAGATGATTTCTGATGCATATTTTTAAAATGGGGATCTGTCATTCTCCTAGGTTTTGATTTTCAAATTTTTTTTGTGTGTGTGTGTATAATTGAACAGTTTTCATCCAAATAATTGAAAATATAAGATTTTTAAAAACTGGTATTGGACTCTATGTTCGTCTGCATGCTAATGAGAGAAAATGAATCAGAAAAGATGCAAAGAATTATGAATGTTTTGAAGAGGCAGAACATGAGCTCTGTTGGACCGAAAAGAGGACCAAACTTTCCCTGAGGTTGGAAGATTTTATACAGGTGCTGGTCATAAAATTAGAATATCATGAAAAAGTAGATTGATTTCAGTAATTCCATTTAAAAAGTGAAACTTGTATATTATATTCATACATTACATACAAACTCATATATTTCAGATGTTTATTTTGTTTAATTTTGATGATTACAAATGACAACAAATGAAAATCTCAAATTCATCATATCAGAAAATTAGAATATTGTGAAAAGGTTCAAAATTGATGGCCCCTGGTGCCACACTCTAATCAGCTAATTAACTCAAACCACCTGCAAAAGCCTTTAAATGGTCTTTCAGTCTAGTTCTATAGGCTACACAATCATGGGGAAGACTGCTGACTTGACAGTTGTCCAAAAGACGACCATCGACACCTTGCACAAGGAGGGCAAGACACAAAAGGTCATTGCTAAAGAGGCTGGCTGTTCACAGAGCTCAGTGTCCAAGCACATTAATAGAGAGGCGAAGGGAAGGAAAAGATGTGGTCGAAAAAAGTGTACAAGCAAGAGAGATAACCGCACCCTGGAGAGGATTGTGAAACAAAACCCCTTCAAAAATGTGGGGGAGATTCACAAAGAGTGGACTGCAGCTGGAGTGAGTGCTTCAAGAACCACCACACACAGACGTATGAAAGACATGGGTTTCTGCTGTCGCATTCCTTGTGTCAAGCCACTCTTGAACCACAGACAGCGTCAGAAGCGTCTTGCCTGGGCTAAAGAGAAACAGGACTGGACTGCTGGTGAGTGGTCCAAAGTCATGTTCTCTGATGAAAGTAAATTTTGCATTTCCTTTGGAAATCAAGGTCCCAGAGTCTGGAGGAAAAGAAGAGAGGCACTTCATCCACGTTGCTTGAAGTCCAGTGTAAAGTTTCCACAGTCAGTGATGGTTTGGGGTGCCATGTCATCTGCTGGTGTTGGTCCATTGTGTTTTCTGAGGTCCAGGGTCAACGCAGCCACATACCAGGAAGTTTTAGAGCACTTCATGCTTCCTGCAGCTGACCAACTTTTTGGAGATGCAGATTTCATTTTCCAACAGGACTTGGCACCTGCACACAGTGCCAAAGCTACCAGTACCTGGTTGAAGGACCATGGTATCCCTGTTCTTAATTGGCCAGCAAACTCTCCTGACCTTAACCCCATAGAAAATCTATGGGGTATTGTGAAGAAGAAGATGCAATACACCAGACCCAACAATTCAGAAGAGCTAAAAGCCACTATTAGAGCAACCTGGGCTATCATAACACCTGAGCAGTGCCACAGACTGATCGACTCCATGCCACGCCGCATTGCTGCAGTAATACAGGCCAAAGGAGGCCCAACTAAATACTGAGTGCTGTACATGCTCATACTTTTCATGTTCATACTTTTCAGTTGGCCAACATTTCTATAAATCCTTTGTTTTTATTGGTCTTCAGTAATATTCTAATTTTCTGATATGATGAATTTGAGATTTTCATTTGTTGTCATTTGTAATCATCAAAATTAAACAAAATAAACATCTGAAATATATGAGTTTGTATGTAATGTATGAATATAATATACAAGTTTCACTTTTTAAATGGAATTACTGAAATCAATCTACTTTTTCATGATATTCTAATTTTATGACCAGCACCTGTACATGTGTGAAGGTAAAAAACAGAGGACCATGTAGGCTGACAGGTCAGCTAAAGTATTACCCATTTGAGCAGGGATAATGGCAGAGAGGATGGAGGCATAGCGACAGGAACCCATACTGCCAGGATAGAGTTATAGGTCTGAACAGTCTGTGTCCAGAATATGTGGGTCAGCAGAGAGTTTAGTTTTCCTGTATTTAACCTTCCAGCTGTACAGGTCCTGGATGGAAGGAAGGTCAAACCTCATCATCTTTATTCAGATGCAGGTTGGACCTGTTCTGTTTTAAAGATGAGCCAAACAGTGAAGTGATGGATGAACAGACAACCGACTGACTGTTGTGTAGAAAATGGCCTCCTGCTCCTCTGGAAGGTTGAGTTGCTCCTGGAGGTCCAGTCTCTGCTGGGCCTCGGTCATTAGATGTGTGAACCATCTCAGCTCATAATAAACAGCAGTTCCCAAAAAACATTTTATTCTTATTAGAACTGCTTGGAGATCCTCAGATTTAATAGAGAGCTGTACAACTATGGGCCACATTGAAGAAACTGAAGCGAAATGGAAGCAGGAAGCAGCTTTAAATGTAGAAAAATGAAGAAAAGGAGGATAAAAGGTAAAAAGGCAAATGTGTTTAACTTTAATAAACAAATTCCCTCATCTAAACTTTCTGAAAGGAGGTTTAAAAATATCCAGATATATGAAAAAAAAAAGATTTAGTCATCTAATGCAGCTGTAGACATTTATTTCACCTCAAATGTCTTCAGTAAGTCCTAACTATTAAAAATCAAACTTTAAATCCCATCTGCATAAAGTTCATAGTTTATGCCTCAAGTCTTTACTTGCTCTTCTTGAACATATTTCATCATTTTAGTGTTTCACCTTTTTTCTGAACTGTAACTCTGAGGTGCAGTAAAGGCATCAGCAGGAGAATAAAGACAAGCTTTATTCTTCCAGTAAAATTGTTCCCCAAAGTTACCCCAGAATAAACAGCAGCAGAAGTAAAGCAGTATCCCATTTTACCTGCATTTAACATTATTTTAGATCAGTGATGATTTTTGTCTCGTTTCTGTTGCTGATCAGACCTTTATGATCTGAGATTAAATGTTTAAATAAATGAACTGTGTCACAAACGCTCAGATTATCAGTAGAGGCTGATCGGGCTGGCAGCTGAGTGTGAGAGCGAGGCGCCATTTGTTGGCCCCCAGGGACCCATTTTCTCTTAAAGTATTAAGAAAACTGACTTCTGAGCTCCTTAAAGTCCTCTAAGTCAGTCATTCTACCATAATCAGAAGCACTGAGAGTTCAGGATTTCTTCTACAAATAAAAAGTATATATTTTAAAGCTACTTAAATGTACTTAAATTCTTTAATTTCTAACTTATAGTTGTAATTATAGGCTACTCTCATAAAAAAAAACACATTTGTTATTTCTCTGTATCATAAAACCTATATTTTCTTTTTTCTTTATTAAACATAAACAATTTATAGCAGTTCTCTTGTCAGCTTCAGGATAATGTTGTAGTAAAATCCCAGATAAATAGGTAAACAATGAGAGTTCAGACTTAATAAAAGCTTTGCTTGTTCAGGTTTCAGTCGCTGTTATTTCTGTCTGATGATCTCCACATCTTTGAGGACAGCTCCCCCTTGTGGCACTACAGTGTTAACAGAATTCAATGAATGAATCCCATTCTTCACATTCCAATAGATCCCATAGAAGCCCTGCAGCGGGACAACGGTTCTCATGGGCTGTGTTCGAATTCATGGGCTGCTCTACCTGGACTGGATCCTTCGAAGTCTTTGAAAATATGAGCTATCTCTATAGTTATGCTGCTAAAGGCTTAGACTGCTGGAGGACATAGGGACCCCTTTTTCATCATTCTGCTTCATTCTATCTCTATTCTCCCACTCTGCAGAATCTATTAGTTCAATCTCTAACATTCTGCTCTCTCTGCTTTTTCTCATAGTAGCTTCATCTGGTCTGTTCCTGTTTGGCTGTGACTCCATCCTGGAGAGAAATATCAGCTGTGCTGCTGCCATCAACACCTTTGTTTCTAGATGTTGTATATCAGCCTGTTTTTAAGTGTAGTCTTGTTTCTCTGACATGTGAGCTGGCTCGCACCTGGCTGTGTGTTTCCTGGACAGGGCCGCCTTTTACAGCTGTTTTTTGTATCTATGCTTCTTTTTCTATGTCTGCTTCTGTTTCCTTGAACCCCAGTCGGCCTCAGCAGATGGCCGCTCACACTGAGCCTGGTTCTGCTGGAGGTTCAAAGGGAGTTTTTCCTCTCCACTTTTGCTACAAGCATACTTAGTGTGAGGGACTGCATTCAAGTCGAAGCAATCAACTTGTTTTCCTTAGATAGAAAACTTTGAATCAATCTGACTGGATGATCTGGTGAACTGAAAAGTGTCTTGAGATGACGTGTGTTGTAAATTGGCGCTATAGAAATAAACTGAATTGATTGTTTTTTTTTTTCATTATTGGGTTCATAGTAGGAGTAGTATTGTAATACCAGCCCCTACTCCCCTATCTTACGCTCTCTAAGCAGCTGCCCTCACAGAGCTTTATTGTGAAAGGTCTAACCGGAAAGGTCGTGTTTCTGCGCAGCTTTACTTTATCTTGTTGTTTTCCTTCTTCGCGGAGGTTTATTTGCGTTCTGGGCAGGTCCATCAGAAAAAATGGACGAGATGGACGAAGATCTCGGTGAGTTTGTTTAAGACTTTTATTCTGACGCCAAACTTTAACGTTTGAAACTTGATCTGAAGTGTCCAACCATCGCCTCTGGTAGTTTTTCCTTTTCCGAACTGAACTGGGTCAGAACATTAAATCCCATTTATATCTGATTTTTTATTTCGTTAAAAAGAAAAACATGCTGCCAGCCGGGATGCCAGGAGAACCAGTCCAGATATAGAACCAGTAGAATAAACTAGAGTCTAGATTCTACTTTAGAACAAACTAAAAGTTTTAACCCTCAGGCTATGCAGACAGTAACCAATTACTGTGTAATTAATTAATTCTGTTAATAAATAAAATTAATCTGTTTTTAGCAGCGAAGTTACTAACAGCACCATCATTTAATAAAAGTAACTAAATTATTTCATTTTTAAATAAATACTAAATCACTCATAGTATTTACATTAGTTAGTTAACTAATTATTACACACATATTTACTAAAAACTTATATAAACATCTTTATATTTTATGCAGTGTTATTTATAGTCTTTAATTTAATCTGTAAATTTTAATTCTTTAAATGTGTAAATTAGAACATATTGTTCTTTTTCTGTTTATCTGTTCTTTGTTTATAAAATTTATATTTTTTTGTTTATTCATCATTAGTGAGGGATCATTTAAAAGCTTAACCTTTATATTTGAAATAACTGCTCAAAAAATGTAAACTAATTATCAGAGTTTTGTGGGCGGAGCTTAGAATCACTGAGTCAACGCTTAGAGGTTAACCAATCAGAATAAAGAGCTACAAGAGCAATTTAAACTGTTTCATAATAGCTTAGGAAATATAAAATGACTAATAAATACATAATGAATGTATTATTCCTACATATTTTCCTAAAAAAAATTACATACAATGTCTATAAATAGATGTCTATATATAGATAGATGTCTATAAATTTAATTCTAATGCCTGGGATCCTAAATCTATCAGCTAAACTCAGATTATTTCAGAGGAATCCATACATTTGTTTTAGATATGAAAACAGAAAACAAACAGTTGATGATCTTCATGTGATCTTCATGTTTTATTACCAAATGTTAGTTAATTATTTACTGTAGATAGATCCCGGGGACTCTGGTCAGTATAAAGATTACTTGGAAGGATTCGCCGCTGATGTTTAGTTGTAAAACTTTTTCACAATAAAATATCAGACCTTAAAGCATCAGGGTTTTTTTTTTGGCAACATCAGTGGGAAACAATTTCTAGTTGTAAATGCTACACATTTCATATGATTTAATGGAAATATAAATCTGAAAAGTGTGGCTTGTATTTGCATTCCCGCTGGAAGGTGTAACTCCATCCTATCCTCAGGTCTTCTAGTCCTGGATTTAGCTCCATGCGTTTCCCCAAAAACTCTCCCCATTTTATTGTTGCTGCTTAAGTGAAATGTCCCCACAGCATGATGCTGCCATTGCCATGTTTCACTATGGGAATGGTGTTTTCAGGATGATGTGTAGTGTTGGTTTTCCACTACACATCAGGCCTGGTCTTTAAGCAGATTCTAAATAAGGATCTGTAAATGAAAAAAAAAGTGTGCAATAGATGTGCATGTTGTGGTTTATCTGCTATGACTGTGTGTACAGAGTAGGCAACACATTAGGCAATACTAGGCCGTTGCCTAGGGCCCAAAGTTCCATAAAACCCATAAAACTCTGTTTACATGTATAGTTAATACAACTATTCCTTATTTGTGCACATTCATTATGTTTTCTCTAAAATGCCATCAGAGCGCTTATAATATTAAGTGTTTCTCATCCCCCCTTCGGTGTCCACCATATTGGATCAGTCCATTTGCTGCACATGTTCAGAAAGGTCCAAACAGACAGCAGCAAACCATTTGAAAACAAACCATGCAAAGAGCAGTGTTGCCAACTTAGCGCTTTAGTCGCTATATTTAGCTACTTTTCAGACCCCTCTAGCACTTTGATTTCTAAAAAGCTCCTAGCGCCAAATCTAGAGACTTTTTTCTGCTACTGGAGACTTTGGAGACAACATCTAAAAGCAGCGAACTCTGCTCTCCAGAGCAAGTAGATTGGTAACCCCGCCTCCTGCTCTCCTCTATCTTGTCTGCTGTCATGATTCATGCAGCTATTATTTCATCCAAATGAAAAATGGAGAACAGAGAAGCAGATCATGGCTTGTCTACAGTGAAAAGAAGGACTGGGTTATTCAATTCAGAGGGCCCCATGCCTGTCTTTGCCTAGGGCCCCAAATTTCCTAAATACGCCCCGATACAAAGGCTAATCCATCAAATGAGTGGCAATAATAATCTGAGCTTTGTAAAAAGTTTGCAGGTGTGCCTTTATGGTATGAAGGTCAGCTTTGCACATGTTATTCAGTTTGGACATGTTTTTATACACATAAACCTTTTAAAGATATTTAGACATATAACATTTCACCCCTTATCAATTAATCCATCCATCCATCCACCCACCAATTAATCCATCCATCCATCCATCCACCCACCAATTAATCCATCCATCCCTCCATCCATCCATCCACCCACCAATTAATCCATCCATCCATCCATCCATCCATCCATCCACCAATTAATCCATCCATCCATCCATCCACCCACCAATTAATCCATCCATCCCTCCATCCATCCATCCACCCACCAATTAATCCATCCATCCATCCATCCATCCCTCCATCCATCCCTCCATCCACCCACCAATTAATCCATCCATCCATGCATCCATCCATCCATCCATCTCTCCATCCATCCATCCTTCCACCCACCAATTAATCCATCCATCCATCCATCCATCCATCCCTCCATCCATCCATCCCTCCATCCATCCATCCACCAACCAATTAATCCATCCGTCCATCCACCCACCAATTAATCCATCCATCCATCCATCCATCCATCCACCCACCAATTAATCCATCCATCCATCCATGCATCCATCCATCCATCCATCCATCCATCCATCCCTCCATCCATCCATCCACCCACCAATTAATCCATCCATCCATCCACCCACCAATTAATCAATCCATCCATCCACCCACCAATTAATCCATCCATCCATCCACCCACCAATTAATCAATCCATCCATCCACCCACCAATTAATCCATCCATCCATCCATCCATCCACCAATTAATCCATCCATCAATTAATCCATCCATCCATCCATCCATCCATCCATCCATCCATCCATCCATCCATCCATCCATCCATCCATCCATCCATCCATCCATCCATCCATCCATCCATCCATCAACCAGCAGGTCACCAGTAAAACTACAGGACACCCCAGTGACACATTAGATAAACAACCATAAAAACAGATCTAAGGTCTTTCTGACTGTAGTTGGTGTTTAAACCCTACATGATCTATGTTAAGTTCTCAGGGTTCCACATGCTTTTAGGGTTTAAAGTCGTTATAGCTTCTGTAGTCGTGTTTGTTCTCACGCTCCCTCCCTGATTGTTTTTTTAATAATGACTCTAACTCTCCCTCCCTCCCTCCCGCCGTTCTTACTCTCCATCCATCTAGGCTAGGATCTATGTGGGGAAACACCTTTGCGCTTATATTTTTATCCCTCAGCCAGAGGTATTGTTTACAGCGAGCCTTACAGCCTCTGACTCCGCTTGTATTTTTATCTGCCAATGGGTGAAGAAACCCAACAAGCTGAAAAACAGTCAGAGGAGGCGGTGCTAGTGTTTGCTTTGGGGCAACATAATTATCCTGTTGTGTAAAATCTGATTGAAAACAGATTAAGTTATTTAAACTTGAGTTAACGACGATAAAATGCAGCTACTTTAAGAAACATTCTTCTTATTTATCTTTAATGGTTTGGATCTATGTTCTTCCTGGAGATATTAAGCATGCAACTCAGATATACAGCTTCAGATATACAGCAGCTCTGACACAGGATATGATGCAGATCTTTTTGGTTACATATATACTCTTAATTTAAACTGTAATATCACTGTTGTATCTTCATTGTTTGTTGTGAAAAATGATTTAAAAGCAACAATGGATGTTTCACTGCTTGATTATTTTTGCCTTTTAAATTGAAGTCACCTCACAGATGGGATGATTGAAATAATATCTAGTATTTCAAAGTAGCACATTTCATTTGAGATCAGATTACCTTTCCAATAGTTAACTTGCAATATTACAGAGAAAAAAAAAATGTTTTTAGATACTTAGCATCAAATCTATGGCGAGGACATGGAAGTACAGGAAAACATATCAATATGTCCAGTCATCCGTTTTCATGATAACTAGTTGCTCCCATTACTCTGTTGCTGAGTATGAATTCAGTAGCTGCAACCTTCAAAGGTCAGATTTTTCTGTCGATTACATCATAGTTCGGCGCAGAGGCCTGTTCGGATTGGAAGGCTCCTCATTACGCAGTTGACAAATGCAGCCTTCCTTTTGCTCGTATTGAAGGACGGGTCCAGTCTTTCCTACATAGCCTTGGGTATCCCATGATTCATCACGAGTCCGAGCAAGCCGGCTGCTCTGTGCTCAGAGGTAAAAATTGGAAGCGCAGTTTAATATAATATAAACATGTGAATATCTCTGTCTGAAATTAATGAAAATTTGTGTTTTAATGGTTACGTATTCAGATATGTGGAGAATAATGTTTAATTTATGTAAAAGTTTTATCTTTCCCTGTGTAAATGAGTTTGGCTGACATTTAAAGGTATTGTCGAGGATTTTCGCAAATTTTTTAAAAGACCCGCACTCTCCACTTTAAAAATATACACAATGCATCACCCTGTACCCGCTCCCGAGAGGAAACGCCTATTAAACGCGTGCGAGAGCGTGCAGGAGTCCATTTTTCCTCATGCATTTCTTCTCATCTGTTGAAATGCTGCTGTTCTCATAGCTCATACAAGCTTCCTGTGCCCAAACGTTCACCCTCACCCCTAAATCCCTCCATCACTATATAGAGCGGGACTATATAATTTACTTTATAGTGAACTCAGGTAACAGATGATCACTGCTTTTTGCTCCCTGTTGGTCACATATCTCCTCCTTCACTGCGTGGTGCCTGCGCCATCTTTGTTAGTAGTTGTCAGATAACAATCCTATGGCAACAGCCAGCCGCTGTGACAGGAAATCCCATACTGTGCAAAGCATTCTGGGATATATCTGCCTCTTCTGAGGCCTTTCTTTTCTTCTAATACACTTCGTAATACACTTTGGTTTCAAAGAACCACGGTGAGAAAGGTGAGCTTCAATGACTGTCTGAAACCATAGCTCACCACATTTATACGCCTGAAAGTGCGCATGTGCAGAAAAAGATAGCTAACAGGACGAGCACGTTGGACCGTCTTACGCAAACATATCACCAGAATGATTGATAATTAGGAGGACCACTTATTTAGATGATCCACTCGGAAATAAAAGATTGTCTTCTATACCTTTAAGCTCAGATTCCAATATCTCTGCAGTGTGCGGACTAAATCTGGTATTCACATTGGAATGGGGGTCGTTTGTTGTCTTTGTTAGTCTGTAATAAACAAAACCTGTCTATGTGTCTGAAAGGGGGGGTTGTTAAAGGGAATTGTTGGCCTGGCTAAATAGGCGAGGTGCTCTGTTCCCCTGTAATGGGATGGACCAAAGGGGCAGAGCCGCTCATCGGGTTCAATTTACATGTTTTCTAAGCCAAAACAAGCCTTTATTTTGGTCCACTCTATAGACCCTCAAACTCAACACTATTTCTGAAATTTTGAATTGAAAAATCTTCCTGGTTGGGAAACGAAAAGTCTTCAGATTGGGACAAAAGTCCAGTGGATTGATTTTGAGCTTTTTTGGAATGACTATGACCTGGATGACTGAGAATCTTCACCAAAATGCTGTAAGAACATGAAGATAAATCTGTGGTTTAGACTTTAAACCTTCCTTTGTCACTGCTTGATGCGAACCTCATAGCATAGCTGCTAGGTTTCTGTTATAAGACTGCTTGTTGAAGCACCATCACCGTCAAGGCCCTCCCCCGAATGATGCAGCCGGCTGCTTTTCAAGGGTGCGTTTTATGCAGCTCCTAGCTTTTTAACTGCTTAAAGGAGCTTTACCTTAATAGCAGATTTTTCTCATTTCTACTACTCTTCTTGTTTCCCAAAAAAACATTGGTGAGGAAATGGCCCATCTTATTTTAGCTGCTGACCAGCAGGAGGAGACAATTGCTCCAAAGGTTTCCTGTTTTTGAAGTTAACTTTTTTATAACCTTATAACAGAAACTGGATCATACCAACGCTGTCATTTCAGGTCTGACTTTGATTGATACCCAGCTGCTAAAGGTCCCACCAGAGCAGAGCCATGGGAACCAATCGTCTTCTTCTTAATTAGACCGTTACTGTTAGACTCAATTTCCAAGTCTCGGAGGCACTTGATTTTTGGTCGAGTTAGACACAGATTTTCTCATTTAGCCTTTTGAGGGACAGTAAAACACATTAAGTGGCTTTGGAGTATTGAAGCTGGCGTGCATGTCCGTGCATGTGAGATAGAAGCGCTTTTCCACACAGAAATTAAGTTACACAGCAATGTACTTTGGATAAGGAAGCATTACCAGCACAAAAACAATAAAGTCATGGAGACAAACACCTTTGCCTGTGATATGAATAAAAAAATGTCAGTCTCAATTTTTGTTGTTAAAAAAAAAAAATCTAAATTTTGATTCTTGCCAAAATCGTTCCACCTTAATTTGGGATTGTAATTCTGTGTTGAATCAGTTTGGACTGATTAGGTTAACATTATAAGAGAAGGACAGAAACATAGAAAAGTCTATCTATGACCCATCATCATACTTATGTGTTTCAGAAAAATTTGATCCCAACATACCTGAAGAGGGCCCATCAGCGCCCCCTCCTGGCTGGCTGGAGGACATACATGGATACCAGGGCAATAATAAAGGAGGTGAGTCTGAGACTGATGCTGATTTGGGTGAATCTCTTAAAGACATTTAAGCCAAAGTAGAACCGTGCCAGTAGTGGAAATGAGAAGTGCAATCATTAAGGAAAGAGGTAGAAAGAGGAAGATAGATTCTTCCTATGGATTTTTTTATTTTTCATAGTGACCTCCTGCCATTCCTAGATGCTGCATAGGACCTTTACAATTTTAAGCAATTCCTTGCGTGACAGGTTGTATAGTACGGAAGAGGATTAGGGCCACTGGAAAAAAAAAAAGTTAACTGATTTTTAAATTTTATTTCAGTTTAATATGGGAAACAAGTTAGATTTCTGACTTTTATCTCAGAATTTTAACTTTAATCTCAGAATTCTGACTTTTTTCTCAGAATTCTGACAGATAACAAACATGTTAGCATCAAGCCATAGCCATGTCTGTTTTAGAGACTAGCTCTCTTGTTTTAATGACCTTCTGCTCCTCCATTAATGAGGGGACCCCTCAGGCACGTAAAAAGTTGCCTAATTCCCTCATTTTCCACCAATGTGTCACTGGCCCTCCCAAACAACTCACATCTTTGTCAGTGAAGCTGAGTGCTCCACATCTTCCTTCATGGTGCCCATCTACATTGAGATCTGAAATTCTGAGATTAAAGTCAGAATTCTAAGAAAAAAGTCAGAATTCTGAGATTAAAGTCAGAATTCATACTAAATTGAAATAAAATTTTAAAATCAGTTAGCTTTTTTTTTCTTTTTTTTCAGTGGCCCTAATCCTCTTCCGTAGTATAGGCATAGCCCACCTCAGGGAGATTTTTAAAAATGACAGGTCGTCATGTACTTGGAACACATTTGAATCTACACACCTTCATATGTTTTGGGTTTTATAATGGGGGTATTCAGCCATTCATTAAACCTATTTTTTATTTTTTTTATTTATTTATTTTTTTTGGGACTGCTGTAGTCCAGGTTTATCCTTTATACTTTTAATGACATTTGTTCTTACCTACCCTGGATAGTGCTTCTACTGTTTATCTCAAAAAAGGGGAATGAATAGGAGCTAGAAGCTAAAATTTGCCCCATTCAAGATCAGCCTGAGAGAAGGTGATGCTGCTCTGTAGAGCCACACTATTAGGGACAAATTCATCTAGGAAAAAAATAAGAAATCTGCTTGGAAAGTTGGGTGTGGATATTCTCCAAATAAGCAACATGACCCAAACAGTGATGATTTATTGCAGAGGTCACAGATTAGTGGACCGTGGTCTGGATCTGAACCAGCCTGATGGCTAATCCGGACCCAGACTGATTTAAAACATTTATAAATTACCGCATGTTGTCCGACGGCAGTGTCTAATTTCACTTGCGCCGCTGTTAACACGGTAAAGCCCAGGGTTGCTGCTGCTGCTACTTTTAGACACAGCAGGCAAACCTGTGGCAAGCCGGGCGATGGGAAAGAAGGAGAAGACGATGAGAAAAAGAGAGCAGAGAAACTGTGGACTGCTGGAAGAACTGCGGTGAACTGGTGAAAGAAAAGTGAAATGGTGCTCAAAGATGACCCAGCACATTTAGAGGATGTTTGGCTCAACCTGCTGCTGTGAAGCAGGATTCTCCACCATGAACAGAATCAACAATAAATCTGGATCTAGGCTCAGAATGAGCACCTTGATATGTGCTTGAGAATGGCTTAGTCTCCATTCAAACCCAGGTTTAAAGCCTTGCAGGGCAGCCTAAAGCCCACTGCCAACATTAACCCTCTCCAGGCAGATGTTGCAGATTTGCAACAGCTAAATGCCACTTAGCTAATTACTCCATATCCATATTGTAAGAGCTTTTGTTACTCAGAAGTACAACAGAAGGACTTAGTTGTGCATTTGCAACAAACAGTTTCTCTCCAGCTCATCAGATAGCACTGCTGACTCACTTTATACATGGCTGAGTCCTTGGTGTCACTGAAACAGATTTTCTAAGCACCAATTTTATGTAAATATCACTACAAATGTCCATTATTTTGAAATCAATACTACATAAGATGAATCATGAATGTGTATAGATATGACACATGCCAACGAGTAGATTTTATCTCCTGTGGGTTTTTCACCAGATGCATCTCGATTTCAATGTTGTGGATTCGCAACGTGTCCCCAAACAGGTACCAATGGATGCTACATGCTTTATCTACTAGTTTGCCTATATTTTGAGCAACAGTTTAACAGAAACGGCCTTCTCAAGAGGTTTTTAGATGTCGGTGGAGAAAAAGTTTGAGAAAAAGTTGTCTCTAATTTTGTGAGAGAAAATGTTTTTTTTTCGAATTTTGTTTTGTTAATTTTTTGTTTGTGACACTCAAATAAAGTTAATGTTCATATCAGATTCAGTGTTAATTTACCACTCCAGGCAACTGTTACAAATCTGCAACATTCCAGAATTCATTGCATGTGAAGGTCTCTCAAAAAAAAGTCTGAATTGTATATTACCGGTACAACCCCATATGATCATTTTCTCCAAATATCCGATTTTTCCTGCAACTACAACTTAATTTGAGCCTGAGAGGGTTAAGACAGAAAAAAGAACAAAAAATAAGAAACGCTAAGTTCAGGTGTTTTATAAAATATGGGAATCAGGAAATTGTCTATATACCAAAATGAACGATTTTTGTTCTCTACTTAAAAAAACACTTCAGATTTTAAAATGGAAAAAATGTCTTTTTATTTTTATTTTTTATTAAAATTAAATGTATAACATGGATGCATAAACACCTAATTTTATTTTAGTGTTAAATTCTGTTTAAAAAAACAGATTATAATTAAAAATGTCTCCGGACCTTTACTGGTTGTTGATTTTCTTTATACCAACCTGCTGATTTTTAATTGGTTTTAATTGGTTTATAATATAATATATATAAAGTGAATGTGACCTACATCCTGTAACGTCAACTCTTTTGTTTCCTTTAAAGAATCTTTCACACTGTTTAGTTATGAACGTTTCAATGCTTAATATGAAATAGAAGATTCTTACAGTATTGGAACAATCGTGTTACAGTAACATTGGCCTTCTAATATGACGGTACAGTACAGCACACCCCTCCCTGTGTTGATGTTTAGGTCTGGAGGATGAAGAGCCGTTGTACCCCCCGCCCCCTGCCTATAACCCCCAACCTGAACTCAACAGGAGCACTTCAGTCCCCAACATCAGGTAAAACCAAACCAGTTTTTTTATCTGATAAGAGCTCTGAATGACATGAGGAACATTGAGCTGTTCTCTTCTCCTGTAGAGTCCCGTCGGTGTCGGAGGACGTGGCCCGAGAGGCTCTGCTGAAGTTCGTGGAATCCAAATGGAAGTACAGCTCCAAACCAGCCAGAAACCTCACGTTCAAAACTCTCAAACCCATCACCGTTTACAGGGTTCGAGTTCCTCTTTCTCTTTTCTAACATTACAGTAATGATAAGCTTTATGCATCAGAGCTGATATATTCTTAAGGCTGAATGCTGAGGAACAGGTCTGCATGGTACCAGGAAAGACTGCAGTATTTTGATTCATATTATCATAATGCTATTACTTGTGTTGAATAACCTGTAATGTGTTTCTGCTTTGGGATCGCAGCAGACATGGACCTCAGCTAAATCATTTTTACAGAAAATGGAAAATAAAATACAGATTTTCTCATTAGAGCCTCTTTACCTTCTAAAGCATTTTATGTAGATTCAAATACGATTTGAATGACATCTCTAAATGCATGCAGCTGGAACTGTTAGACTTATTTCAGTCCAGGTAACGTGTACATAGTGCTTCCAGTAATATTGTAATAATGGTAAAAGGCCTGTACTTATATAGTGCTTTGGTCAAGTCAGAAGACATTCAGTCATTCACACACACACTCACATTGGCAAGCTACATTATAGCCACAGCCGCCCTGGGGCTCACCTACAGAAGCAAGGCTGGCGCCACTGGGCCCTCTGACGAGGGCCGGATTTAGGAAATTTGGGGCCCTAGGCAAAGACAGGCAGGGGGCCCTCTGAATTGAAAAAACAACACATAAAACAGATCCATGAAATAGATAGAGAGATGTTAATAGAATAGACATCTATTATCTGTTCTAGGTTGTGTCCCTCTCTTCTTGTCCCTCTCTTCTTGTTTTCCTCTCTATGTTTTGTACTCAGCTGACTTTTCATGCTGTCTCTAAAGGAATGAAAGATTTTTTCCCAGCACTAAGCTCACTTAGCTGATTGCTCCTTCCTGTGTTTCCAAAAAGGCCAAAGTAAATAACCCAGTCCTTCTTTTCACTGTAGACAAGCCATGATCTGCTTATCTGTTCTCCATTTTTCATTTGGATGAAATAATAGCTGCATGAATCATGACAGCAGACAAGATAGAGGAGAGCAGGAGGCGGGGTTACCAATCTACTTGCTCTGGAGAGCAGAGTTCGCTGCTTTTAGATGTTGTCTCCAAAGTCTCCAGTAGCAGAAAAACGTCGCTCGATTTGGCGCTAGGAGCTTTTTAAAAATAAAAGTACTAGAGGGGTCTGAGAAGTCACTAAATATAGCCACAAAAGCTCAAAGCTGGCAACACTGCTCTTCACACCGCTTAGACACACTTATTCTAAGCGTTCTGATGACATTTTAGTGAAAGGATTTTTTTTTTAAACTTAATGTGCACAAATAAGGAATAGCTGTTTATGAGAGTTTCATGGGACACCCAGGAACTTGGGGCCCTAGGCAATTGCCTATATTGCCTAATGGTAAATCCCCCCCCTGCATCTGACCAACATCAGAAGGTAATGCAGGTTATGTGTCTTGCCCAAGGACACAAGACACTAAAAGCCGGAGCTCAAACTGACAACCCTTTGATTGCAGGGCAAACTCCTGCAGTAGACGCCACTCTCAGCACTAGTAATGATATATTTGGGATGTATTGTGCAGCCCCTCTTCTGTATTTAATTATCCTGTAAAGACTTTGTGAATCAGGTTATGTAGGATCAGACCCAGGCTCCAACACTGCTGCAGGGAGAAGAACAGCAGCATTCAGGAACAAACTGGTTGCTCTTTGTTACCCTAAGCTGTCACTGATCTCTGAGTCATCAACAGGACAATATGCTGCATGATTAAGTGCTCCCAGAAGTCAGAAACTAACAAGCCTTTAGGAAAAGTTTCTGACTTTCCTCCAACATAAATCCACCGTTCCTCCAACTGTCCTCTGTTTTCTGACTCCTCCTCCTTCTGCAGTATAGACTGGAGACCTACACCGAGACCAGAACCAGCGCCTGGCAGTTTGAGCCCTACAACGGTAAACCATCACAACAAACTAGAATATATCTGCCGTCACGCTAGATCTGATGCTAGCAGTAAGTTCAGAACAGTTTACTTTAAAACTGAAATGTTCAATTAGGTTCAGTTCGGTAATAATTAGTTTCTCATAGTTTCTCAATACAGGTGCTGGTCATAAAATTAGAATATCATGAAAAAGTAGATTGATTTCAGTAATTCCATTTAAAAAGTGAAACTTGTATATTATATTCATACATTACATACAAACTCATATATTTCAGATGTTTATTTTGTTTAATTTTGATGATTACAAATGACAACAAATGAAAATCTCAAATTCATCATATCAGAAAATTAGAATATTGTGAAAAGGTTCAAAATTGATGGCCCCTGGTGCCACACTCTAATCAGCTAATTAACTCAAACCACCTGCAAAAGCCTTTAAATGGTCTTTCAGTCTAGTTCTATAGGCTACACAATCATGGGGAAGACTGCTGACTTGACAGTTGTCCAAAAGACGACCATCGACACCTTGCACAAGGAGGGCAAGACACAAAAGGTCATCGCTAAAGAGGCTGGCTGTTCACAGAGCTCAGTGTCCAAGCACATTAATAGAGAGGCGAAGGGAAGGAAAAGATGTGGTCGAAAAAAGTGTACAAGCAAGAGAGATAACCGCACCCTGGAGAGGATTGTGAAACAAAACCCATTCAAAAATGTGGGGGAGATTCACAAAGAGTGGACTGCAGCTGGAGTGAGTGCTTCAAGAACCACCACACACAGACGTATGAAAGACATGGGTTTCTGCTGTCGCATTCCTTGTGTCAAGCCACTCTTGAACCACAGACAGCGTCAGAAGCGTCTTGCCTGGGCTAAAGAGAAACAGGACTGGACTGCTGGTGAGTGGTCCAAAGTCATGTTCTCTGATGAAAGTAAATTTTGCATTTCCTTTGGAAATCAAGGTCCCAGAGTCTGGAGGAAAAGAAGAGAGGCACTTCATCCACGTTGCTTGAAGTCCAGTGTAAAGTTTCCACAGTCAGTGATGGTTTGGGGTGCCATGTCATCTGCTGGTGTTGGTCCATTGTGTTTTCTGAGGTCCAGGGTCAACGCAGCCACATACCAGGAAGTTTTAGAGCACTTCATGCTTCCTGCAGCTGACCAACTTTTTGGAGATGCAGATTTCATTTTCCAACAGGACTTGGCACCTGCACACAGTGCCAAAGCTACCAGTACCTGGTTGAAGGACCATGGTATCCCTGTTCTTAATTGGCCAGCAAACTCTCCTGACCTTAACCCCATAGAAAATCTATGGGGTATTGTGAAGAAGAAGATGCAATACACCAGACCCAACAATTCAGAAGAGCTAAAAGCCACTATTAGAGCAACCTGGGCTATCATAACACCTGAGCAGTGCCACAGACTGATCGACTCCATGCCACGCCGCATTGCTGCAGTAATACAGGCCAAAGGAGGCCCAACTAAATACTGAGTGCTGTACATGCTCATACTTTTCATGTTCATACTTTTCAGTTGGCCAACATTTCTATAAATCCTTTGTTTTTATTGGTCTTCAGTAATATTCTAATTTTCTGATATGATGAATTTGAGATTTTCATTTGTTGTCATTTGTAATCATCAAAATTAAACAAAATAAACATCTGAAATATATGAGTTTGTATGTAATGTATGAATATAATATACAAGTTTCACTTTTTAAATGGAATTACTGAAATCAATCTACTTTTTCATGATATTCTAATTTTATGACCAGCACCTGTAATAACCACGGTTCATCAGAGAGTTTCTGTGGAAATTTATGGCTGTGGGAAGGAAGGACATACTGTTGAGGTCTTTATTATGGTTTTTCTGTTTCAGTTCTATTCAGTGTATTTATATAGCGCCTATTTACATTGTGTGTCATCTCAAGGCACTTTGCAGAAAAAATTCAGTGAAATCATACAGATGGATTAGTCTTAGATTTTACATCAACAAAACTCAGCAAATTGCATGATGTCATGATCTTGGTTCTGTTGTACTTTGCTCCTTGTTTTCTAGTTTTATTGGTTTAATTCCAGTTTTGTTGTAATTTCTAGATTTAGGTTAGTTCTCATGTTTTTCTGTTGTCCTCTATTGCCCTCTTGTGTGTGTGTGTGTGTGTGTGTGTGTGTGTGTGTGTTCCTTTCCCCTTGGCTCCCTGGTTGTCTCCTCTCACACCTGCTCCTTGTCAGCTCGTTAGGCCTGCCTTTGTCTCAGTCAGCTATTTATTGTCAGAGTTTGGTTGTGGTTTTGAGGACCCAAATGCAGAGGCAGAGAGGCTGAGGAGATTTCTAGGAGTTTTAATGGGGCAAAACAGTAAACACAGGCAGAAATCCAACTAATAATGAAAAGCAAACCAGAACTATGGGGACATCTGGGTAAACCCAAACACGAGGAGCCAGGAAGAGACGAGGTAGGTAAACAACAGCATAGGAAGACAGCAAAGACAAGGAACCAACAAGGAGTAACAGCAGAGGGAGAGTATATATAGCTGACAGAGACAAAGGCAGGGCTAACGAGCTGACAAGGAGCAGGTGTGAGAGGAGACAACGAGGGAGCCAAGGGGAAAGGAACACACACACACACATACACACTTACACAAGAGGGCAAAAGAGGACAACAGAAAAACATGAGAACTAACATAAGATGTGGAAAACTGCTTCTGAGGTCCCTGCAGATGAACTAAAGCCCACACATAGAAGATGTCAGATGGAGAAACATTTCTCTGTTTTGTTTTAATCAGGCCAGATGGTGGATGGTCCTCAGTGTGGAATGATTCCTCCACCGTGGGACATCCCAGTATCCCTGCCTCAGATGTACTCTGACAAGAAGGAGAAGATCCGAGTGCCGCACTCGTCATTTGTGAAGGTTCAGGGTTTTTTTTGGTCTTTTTTTTCCAGCTCTGCTCACTCCTAGCATCAGCTGTAACAGTTAGGTGTGTTTATGTTGCAGATCTGCCATAAATGTCATGGCTTTGGAAGAACTCGCTGCAATGGCTGCTTCGGCAGAGGCATGGTGAGATGGAGCCTTTCAAAGACGGGTTTTACTGAATAGGTTTCTGGTTTAGTTCAATGACACATGAAGTCCATCTGCAGACCTTCAGAAGGTCACATTCACTGATCAAGATTCACTCACCGTGCTTGAAACTGAAGATCAAACTGCTTCAACACAACTGAATTCAGTATGAGCTCGTTAGCAGAGCTTGATTGCTGCTAGTGAGGAAGCTACATTTTGCGATTCAGGTGTTTTGGGAAATTTTATGTTCTAAACCAGAGGTCACAAATTAGTGGTCTGGATCCGGACCCACCTGATAACCAATCCAGACCCAACCTGATTTAAAACATTTATAAATTACCCCATTTTATCTGACGGCAGTGTCTAATTTAAATTGCGCCGCTTGTCCTGTTAATACGGTAAAGCCCTCCAGAGCGTCTGGTACTAGGCTGCATGTGATCCAAATCAGCCAAAGAGCTGTCAGTCTGGGTTGCATGGTCTTCTGTTCCCCTGTAAGGGGGTTGGGGGTTGCAATGATAGTGGGAAGGAATCAACCCAATTGCTGAATTGTAGGTTTTTGAAAGCTGAAATCTGAGTCTACCCCCTCTTAACATACACTACCGTTCAAAAGTTTGGGGTCACATTGAAATGTCCTTATTGTGTCCTCAAAATGACCAGAAAAAGAGAACTTTCAAATGAAACTCGACAGTCTATTATTTTTCTTAGAAATGAAGGCTATTCCATGCGAGAAATTGCTAAGAAATTGAACATTTCCTGCAACGGTGTGTACTACTCCCTTCAGAGGACAGCACAAACAGGCTACTGTTGGTACTATTTAATGAAGACGGCAGTTAGGGACCTGTGAGGCGTCTGTTTCTCAAACTAGAGACTCTAATGTACTTATCTTCTTGCTCAGTTGTGTAACGCAGCCTCCCACTTCTTTTTCTACTCTGGTTAGAGCTTGTTTGTGCTGTCCTCTGAAGGGAGTAGTACACACCGTTGTAGGAAATCTTCAATTTCTTAGCAATATCTCGCATGAAATAGCCTTCATTTCTAAGCACAAGATCAGACTGTCGAGTTTTAGGTGAAAGTTCTCTGGTTTGAGTCATAAGAGCCTTCATCTTTGGAGGAGTTTCTGTTGAAATCATAAAGTTTAAAATCAAGCAGTTTTTCTAACTCCAGCTCTCCCGTTTCCTCAGAAACGTTGCACTTTTTGCCATGGCCATGGTCGGGCTAGAAACAAACGCTGCACTCGCTGTCACGGACGAGGTCGCAAGAGGTGAAATGTTTTTTCTTCTTCATATTTTATCGGTTGGGATTTTGCGAACATTCAGACCCACTGTTGCTTTACTGGCATCTTGAGACTGAAGGGACACAGTATGGATCATGTTTTTGGTTTCCTTTTTTTAGAGAATTCCGTCAGATTTTTTATCTCAGGAACCTCCAGAAGACTCAGCTGATTTTAGGAATCAATGACTGCCTGATCAACAGACCATGTTTTAAGACTAAATGGTTAATTTTTTATGGACCAGATGAACATGAGCACCACAGGGATCTATACTATAACCATTATGTTTTACTCTTTATGCCTCATATTTCCAGTATAAGACAGACCCCCGTTATCTACACTTGACTGACTATGCAGTCATGGGGTACTGATGTATTGGGACAAAGCTGAGCACAGGGAGCACCCATAAACTAATTTTTGGCATGTTGTGTAAACAATCACCCGATACTGAATGTGATTAAAAAAAGGGTGTCATGCCGCTGATTTCTTGACTGGCAGAATCCTTAGCTTGTCTGAACTACAAAAACATTTTTTAAGTTCCTTTTAAATTTGATTCAAGGCAGACCAGAGCAGATAATGACCTCTGTTAGGATTAGTGGATACTTTTTGAGGGCCCAGATACAGAGCTATATAGGCAGAGATGATTTCTTGCTAAACTTTGTTGCTAACAGAACCGATCGACAAAAAAAATAAATAAACGAGACACTGAATAAACCGAAGTAATCAAAGGCATACTATGCAAAATTTTTCAGTTAATTAATGTGTTCCATAAAGTTTTGGATGATTAAATGAGTCATTTCAGGTCGAACAAAGGTTTTCTCAGTCGCCCTTGTGGTCTGTAGGGGAAATACTGTACTTGCAATTGCAGGAGCCCTCGGCCCGCACCCACAGGCTCAGAAGTCTCGTGCATCGCGAGAGTCGATCTTGCTTTACGGCGAGAACTGCTACACGCCCTCAATGAAAGGCATGCTCGTTGCTAGCGCAGTGGCGATATTTGTGCAGTTATCATGGCGCAACCAGCGAGAATTTTCAAACTCGAAAATTGGAACAAAATAGTCACTTACCGCAGTAGACATGGTGATTCGTTGCGTTCGCCTGTCTGATAAGCTCAAAACGACCGCGCCTGGCTTGACGGAGAAACCAGGAGAACAGCTGAGCATATTTATGACAGTGCACTTTTACTTTCGCCCTCTGGGGGGAGCCTCGCTGGAAAATCAACACCGGTTGCATAGTACACCTTTAAGTAATGAAGAGAATTCAACAACGAGGAACTGCACAGGAGGTGTATATATGGGAGATAGAACAATGAATGGGCCAATCAGCTGATAGGGAGCAGGTGTGAATAGAAGCAACTAGAAGGGAGCTAAGGGGAAATAAGACTAGCACTAGGGGGCAACAATAAAACACTGCTTAGATATAACTAGAAAACAACTACAATGACTGGAGGTCTGTCCAGTAAGGCACAAGGACAAAGACAAATAAAAAAGTCCAAATAAATTCTTCACAAAAGGACTTACATCAAATCTAAAAAAATATACCAAAATGTGCCCAAAGGAAACAACTAAGGCATACCTAACTCAGGATAACAAACCAAAAAAACTGGCCTCACACACTGAACACACAGGGGAATTTATACTCAAAGGCTAGCCTACCCAAACAAGGAGGGGTGGGAGATGAGACAAAGACAAAAAATGCATAAACATAAATAATAACTCAGCGAAGAAAAGCAGTTAATTCAAACAAACAAAAGGTGTTTACTAAATGTGTGCACCCATAATAGTAAACAACCTAATGCCCAAAAAAAAAAACATCACAAAAAAGTTAAATTATAAATGTATCGTGTGAAGACCTTCAAATAAATAAATACTAACACGGAGGAAAAGATGGAGGAACTTCCACGATGACACAAAATTGAAATTAAACCAATGACCCAGAAAACACAGAATGATGTTTCATATTTTTTTATTTACCTCCAGGTGTTTGAGTTGCCGTGGGGACGGCTACAAGACATGCTCCGTTTGTCACGGGGCCCAGAACCTGCTGCACTTCATCCAGCTCACAGTCACATGGTGCGTTAGTAAAACCCGCACAAGAATCGGTTCTGAACAGCCTGTTCTTCACAGTTTTTTTGTCTATTCATGACCGGTTTTTAGGAAAAACAACGTCAGTAACTTCATTCCAGACCGTCAGCCGGACTTTCCAGACAAGAAGTTTGAGAAGGTGTCAGGAGACCCGTTCTTTATTGATGAGAATGTACTGGTAAAGCAACCTCTTCTTTTGTTTATGATTAAGTTCCAAATGCTTAATTCTCTGTCTTAGCAGCCAGAATCTACTCTTTGGATTTTATGCATTGAAACTAAGTTTCTTACTAATGCTTCACCATAAAGAAGATGGAAATAAGAGGTTTGATACCTTCGTTCTAATTAAGAATGGTTAATTACATCTTCCACTAAAGAAAGGGGGCCATTGGGGTCCAGGGGATGAGTTTAAAGAAGATTAAACTATTAAACATTGCATCTTCTCCTTTCTGTTCTGCTAGGTTTATCCAATCGTAGGTTTCCCTGATCAGGAGATCTGTGACGTCTCAACAAAACTGATAAACGAGCATCTTTGTCGCTTCACTTCCACCAGCCGCATCCTCCAACAGGTAATGAACTGTTTAAAAACATCTTCAGGACATCCAGCTCTGCTCTCTGAAGGTCCTACAACAGCACATCAGTCATACTGAGGTCTGGACCTTTGACTCGGCCACTACATCTGTATTGCTGTATAATGGTTCTATTGGCGGTCCAGTTTGGACCAAGCTTCAGCTCTCATGGCCTGCAATACATTTACGTTTCCTCTCCATGGTTGGGTCCTGTGGCTCTGGTAGAGCTCCAATCATCATCCTACACCCATCATGCTGGTGGAGTGTCTTTGCTGATATGTTTGTCCAGAGGAAATTGTCTTAGATGTCCTGTCCTTCATCCAGATACAATTTTGTTTAAAAATTGTACTGCCATTTTGTTCTGCTGAGGCCTGTAGAGTAGGAGATATAGCACTTTGTTTTTTGAACATTTCTTGGAGCTTCCTACTTTGATCTTGGGTGGCATCAGCTGGGACATTTATTCCTTGACATCTAAAATGTTCCTTCTGCCTGAACTAAAGATAGCTTGGTAATTAAGTTATAAAAGTTCCCACATTGATGGGCAGTTTCTTATGGAAGATTATTGCTGTTGTCTATGCTAGTGAAGATTCGCAGTCATCCAGGTCATAGACATTCCAAAAAAGTTAAAAAACAAACCACTGGACTTTGTTTCCAAGCTTGAAGACGTTTCGCTTCCCATCCAATTCAATTGGAATTGAAAAAGCTTCCTGGATGGAAGCTTTTTTTATATTGCTCTTGTCCTTTAATTCAGTCTATTAATATAGTGCCAATTTATCTCAAGGCACTTTCTAGTTCACCAGATCATCCAGTCAGATTGATTCAAAGTTGTCTATCTACGGAAAACCAGTTGATTGCATTGGCTCTTTGACTCAAATGCAAACCCTCACACTAAGCATACTTGTAGCGACAGTTGAGAGGAAAAACTCCTTTTTAACAGGAAACCTCCAGCAGAACCAGGCTCAGGCTCAACCAGGCTCCTTCCATCCTATCTGAGTATAAACACACATATGTATATTCAGAGCAACACACAGCTAAAACCCCTCCTTTTATACAGGGAATCATGGTGCTTGTTATCTTGTACTTTTTTGGTCCTGCATTTATACCCCATTTACACTACCCTTTAAAGGCATACTATGCAACATTTTTCAGTTAATTAATGTGTTCCATAAAGTTTTGGATGATTAAATGAGTCATTTCAGGTCGAACAAAGGTTTTCTCAGTCGCCCTTGTGGTCTGTAGGGGAAATACTGTACTTGCAATTGCAGGAGCCCTCGGCCCGCACCCACAGGCTCAGAAGTCTTGTGCATCGCGAGAGTCGATCTTGCTTTACGGCGAGAACTGCTACACGCCCTCAATGAAAGGCATGCTCGTTGCTAGCGCAGTGGCGATATTTGTGCAGTTATCATGGCGCAACCAGCGAGAATTTTCAAACTCGAAAATTGGAACAAAATAGTCACTTACCGCAGTAGACATGGTGATTCGTTGCGTTCGCCTGTCTGCTAAGCTCAAAACAACCGCGCCTGGCTTGACTGAGAAACCAGGAGAACAGCTGAGCATATTTACGACAGTGCACTTTTACTTTCGCCCTCTAGGGGGGAGCCTCACTGGAAAATCAACACCAGTTGCATAGTATAACTTTAAAACCGTGCCAAGACCGGTCCCAGCTCAGTAACTGAGATAACTTATCGTGTGTAAATGGAAAGCAAACTGAACAGAACCAAGCTAGACACAACCGAACCGAGATAACTGCAGACCAGTTCCAGAGGTGGGCTCGGCTCGGTTTTTCTCTGGCTCGGTTCTCTGATAACAAGAGCGCATGAGCAGAACGGGTCATCTCCGTCTGGCTGCACATCCCGATTCAAACTCTATTCCAGTAGTTGGCGGTTATTCCCCTCCAGAAACAGAAGAAGAACAACTTCTTCAACTATAAACAACAATCAAAATCTTCTCCACGCAATATTGTAAACAATAACACCGAAGTACAGCAACAATAATCAAGCATAACTTTCTGAATGTGACGGGCGCCGCCATTTTGATTTGCTTGATTCCCTCCTTCTTCGTCTTCTTCTTCTTGTGTTTTATGGCGGTTGGCAAACAAAATTTGGTGCATTACCGCCACCAACTGCTTGATTTCCTCCTTTAATACTGGCAGTAATACCGCAGATTGTCACTCGGAGGCGAGGAGTTGAGGAACTGAGATAGCGTGATGTGTCAACGGTCGTCAGAACCAAGCTCGGCCTGGTTAACTGATCCGAGCTCGGACCGGTCTCGGCATGGATCGGTTTTTCAAGGGTAGTGTAAATGGGGCTTATGTCTCCCGTTGCATATAGATATATGTGTTACTAGTCTAAAGCTGGACAGAAAAGACTTTTTCTTTATTTCAGTCTAATGTTGCTGCAGCTAAAGACTTTGGGTCCACCAGCATGCTGCGGTAGATTGTTTTTTTTTTGCCTTTTAAAACAGTTGAGTGTTTAAGAGAGGCTAAAATCATGATCTTCATCTTTTCTTTCACAGCGTCAGACCATCGAGCTGGTGCCCCTCACTCACGCTCTTTACTGGTACAGTGGGAAGGACTATGGCTTCTATGTCTACGGAGTGGAAAACAAGGTTTTTACCTCCAAATATCCAACTTCCTGTAGTATTTTATAAGCTAACCGTGGCAGCAACAGACATATATATATACTCATAATCACCATTTACCATCCACTATATATGCAGCCTATTTGTGAAAGGCAGTTATGAAGTAATTTTGGAAGATCTAAACCTCAAAAATGACCTTCGATTCAGATCAGAATGAGATGAATCAGGTTTGGAGCTTTGAATGAATAGGGTGAGAGCAGAACAAACACCAGAGACTGCAGACACATGCTGCGCCTTATTTATAAAATTATGAAGAGATTTTAAGGATGTTGTTACCAAAGCTCTGCCTCATGTCAAAGAACAATTCATTAGAATGTGGTTATGATCCATTTTATGTATTTGTAAATCACAAACTTGCTGCTTGGTTAAGGTCTGTGCTCTCATGCTTTTTCTATTTCATTGTATTTCAGTTAGAAAATAACTACACAGCACCACATTTATAGAGAGTCATGTTTATTTCATTATTTGTGATATGTATATTATCATGTATGCAGATGATACTGCTTTGTTCACTCATGGGAAAAGTGCTATAGAAGTGGCCATGAGATTAACAGAGGAAATGAATAAGGTGCCTGATTAGTAGCAGAACTCTTGTCTGACATTAAACACAGAAAATACTTTTGCAATGTTTTTAAGAAACTGCTGATAAATTATAAATTGTCCAAATGTTCATATGAAAGGAACAAAAATTATAACTCTGTGAATTTACCAAATTAGTCGTCACTCTAGCCGGTGTTGACTTAAAAAGAAAAAAAAATCTAATCTTTATTTCCAGGTAGAACAAACCTAAGAAAATCTATAAAATTACATCTGGCAAATTTCAGGTATATACAAGCCTCTCATATATTACGGAAGATGATTAGGGCCACTGAAAAAAAAAAAAGTTTACTGATTCTGACTTTTGAATTCTGACTTTTTTGTTGAGAATTCTGACTGAATTTTGACAATAAAAAAAGTCAGAATTCTGAGATTAAAGTCAGAATTATGAGAAAAAAGTCAGAATTCTGACTTTTTTCACATACTAAACTGAAATAAAATTTAAAAATCAGTTAACTTTTTTTTTTTTTCCACTGGCCCTAATTCTCTTCCGTACATATATACCTCAAATATCTCATGCATTTGAATTCTTTGGTAACTTCCCGCTTCCTGTATAGTTGGTCGCAGTCATTTTCAACAGTCTTGCTGCTTTTGAATCTTTCTTTAAGGCTACGTTCACACTGCAGCATGAAGTGACCCAAATCCGATTTTTTTGCTCATATGTGACCTGGATCTGATCTTTTCATGGCTGTCTGAACAACACAGATCCGATTTTTTCCAATGCGACGCAGGCCACTTGGCTCTGTGGTCCTGAATCCGATATGAATCTGATCAAACGCGACCTGTTTCTGAACAGCCAGGTCGCATTCATTCGACCTGAAAATCATTAATACCCGACACTATTATGTGTCTTCCTACGCAGAAGCGGCAAGAAAATCAACAACCATGGTAGATGATGATGCGGAGAGCAGTATTTATGTTTCACCATATTGAAAAGATTGTGTTTTATGGTTGGAAAAGACCGCTAGATGCAAGCCGGCGCTGCCATCCATGTTTACTTCCGGAAAAAAAGACTGGCCTGTGACGTCATTGCGTCCTCTACTGCGCATGCGGGACACTTGCGTTGTATAACTGCAGTTCACACAGGAGATCACATACAAGTCGCATATAATTGGAAATATGAATGGCAACGTAAAAATAATCAGATTTCACAACAAAAATCAGAATTGAGCATCAAGGCCTGCAGTGTGAACGTAGCCTAAAAGTGCAATAATAGCACATGACAAAAAACTAGCCGGTCCCACCATTTTAATATTATTTCTAAATATATTTTCTCAGCTTTAATAATGTAATGATGTATGCCAATGTATGCCTACTTCTTTACCTCTTCGTTGTTCTGCTGCACCTGCTCTAAAAATGTTTGTCACCCTGAGGTGAGAACTCACATTTCCAGGGCCATTCGATGAGGAGACTGCAGTCTTCCGTTATCTACGACCTCTTTTTCTAAATCAGAGTTATTTTGTATCATTAGTAATGAATGTGTGCACCCAAATCTTTCCTTTTATTTTTTTACAAATGAAATGTTATACTCTGTCCCTGTAAAAATAAAAAAAAAACATACCATACTTAAACATAATGTAATTTATTTAATAAGACGTTCGTTATATTTTCACTGTCATATATAAGATGTTATCCATTTTAATCCTTTGATGTAAGTTTCTTCTTCTCTGGATCTTTTATTTCAAGCCTTTCAGGCCGTTTATCGATTCACAAGAACGTGAGTACGGACTCGTGTTCTCGCCAAGTATGTTCTTGAGAAGAACACGGGAAAGTCTGGACTTTGTGAGAATGGGAGCATGCAGCGTAAATATGGGTCAATTGGAACAAAAGCATACTGATGACATCATCACAAGCTTGGTTCGCCAGGAGCTGCATTTCACTTCCTGTTATTAATAGTCTCTAGATAATGATAAATTCTGACTTTTTTCATTTATTGGGGATATTCATTTCAGAAGAGATCTGGCCTAGAGCTCTTAATCTTGTGAACGACACTACTTCTTGTGTATGTCTTAATCTGATTCAGTTTAAAATTCTCCATCGTACTCACTATAGCAAAGTCAGGCTTGCCAAAATATATCCTGAAATAGATGGAGCGTTTGATTGCTGTAGAGCCACCAACGCAGACTTAGCTCATATGTTTTGGTCGTACTCTAAGCTGAAAGTGTATTGGAAATCAGTATTTGGGATTTTAAACAATGCGTCTGGCCTACAACTAAAACCTGGTTCTTTAATGGCTATGTTTGGGGTTGACTCTGCGATTTCTAGAAAGGAAAATGTTATTGCTCGAAGAATACTTCTGGAATGGAAATCCCAATTTCCACCTAAGACAGCAATGTGGCTCTAGGATATGATGATGTTCCTAAAAATAAAAAAAGTGAAATATGTTTTGAATGGATCAACCAAAAAATTTGTATGGGACCCTCTATTGGGTTATTTTAACAAACTTAGAAATCTCCCTTCTCGCTAGTAAACAAGTCTCAATGTAAAGTGTTTTCATGTTGGGATAGCAATCTCATTTTTATTTATTTTTATTTTTTTTTTTTTTCATTTTTCTGCAGACACAGGGGTTTCTGGGGTTGAATGGGGTTTATAAAAATATAAAAATGTTGAAATGCTGTTTGATTCTTGTTATACTGTCAAAACAATTGTAACAATTTTTTTAGCAACAATAAAAATAGGATTAGAAAAATAGTAATGTATGTTAAGTGTCCAACTATACCTTACTTTGGTACAGTATGAACACATTAACATTGGGTGAAATGTAAGGTAAGTGTGCCACAATGGGACATTTGCCTTAAATGACAATTATGTCATTTAGTAATGTATCAACAGCCAACATCAAGACAAAATGGGAAGAAGAGTTAGGGATAGTCATTCCAGACGAGATCTGGCCTAGAGCTCTTAATCTTGTGAATGACACTACTTCTTATGTAAGTCTTAATCTAATTCAGTTTAAAATTCTCCATCGTACTCACTATAGCAAAGTCAGGCCTGCCAAAATATATAATTTTTAATATATAATACATGACTTTAATAGTAATATATGTTAAGTGTCCAACTATACCTTACTTTTGGACAGTATGAATACATTAACATTGGGTGAAATGTAAGGCAAGTGTCCCACAATGGGAAAATTGCCTTAAAATTTCCTCAATAGAAATGTATGTTAAGTGTCCCATTATACCTTACTTTGGGACAGTATGAATACCTTAACATTGGGTGAATTGTAAGGCAAGTGTCCCATTATTGCCCAGCTGAAAGTGTCTATAGTTGGGCTACATGGGACATTTGCCTTACAATTTCTTTAATAGCAATGTATGTTAAGTGTCCTATTATACCTTACTTTGGGACAGTATACATACATTAACATTGGATGAAATGTAAGGTAATTGTCCCACAATGGGACATTTGCCTTAAAATTTCCTCAATAGAAATGTTTGTTAAGTGTCCCATTATACCTTACTTTGGGACGGTATGAATACCTTAACATTGGGTGAATTGTAAGGCAGGTGTCCCATTATTGCCCAGCTGAAAGTGTCTATCGTTGGGCTACAATGGGACATTTGCCTTACAATTTCTTTAATAGCAATGTATGTTAAGTGTCCCATTATACCTTACTTTGGGACAGTATGAATACATTAACATTGGGATAAATGTAAGGCAAGGGTCCCACAATGGGACATTTGCCGTAAAATTTCCTCAATAGCAATGGATGTTAAGTGTCCCATTTTACCTTACTTTGGGACAGTATGAATACATTAACATTGGGTGAAATGTAAGGCAAGTGTCCCACAATAGGACATTTGCCTCACAATTTCCTCAATAGCAATGTATGTTAAGTGTCCCATTATACCTTACTTTGGGACAGTATGAATACATTAACATTGGGTGAATTGTAAGTCAGGTGTCCCATTATTGGCCAGCTGAAAGTGTCTATCGTTGGGCTACAATGGGACAAATGTAAGGCAAGGGTCCCACAATAGGACATTTGCCGTAAAATTTCCTCAATAGCAATGGATGTTAAGTGTCCCATTTTACCTTACTTTGGGACAGTATGAATACATTAACATTGGGTGAAATGTAAGGCAAGTGTCCCACAATAGGACCTTTGCCTTACAATTTCTTTAATAGCAATGTATGTTAAGTGTCCCATTTTACCTTGCTTTGGGACAGTATGTATACATTAACATTGGGTGAATTGTAAGGCAAGTGTCCCACAATGGGACATTTACCTTACATTTTCCTTAATAGGGTTAAACGATATTACTTCAATTAGATGAAAGAGTAATTTTTCAGGCAAAATGTGATGCATTTGCCCATGCTAATTTTAAACCTCTATGCTGCTACAGGTAGCTAAACATCGCTGGCAGGGTTGGGGTGGGTTGTAACACATCTTTAAAAAGTGCATCAACCATCCCCTTACATATAATTAAGAACAGTTTGATTTGAATAATTTTACAGAATGCTGAGGCAGTGGATACGAAAGAGTAATAGAGGTCTGTCTTCAGATGTTTTAAAAAAGTTATCTGATGAGGTTATCTGAAGATCAAGTAAATCAGATGAGTTGAGAAGGATCTGCCATATAACACTGAAAAGATACTGCAAATAACTGCATATCCGTGCTTAAATGTTTCTTCTGATGAATGCAAATAACCACTTAGTCAGACAGAAAGAAAGAGTCTATGTGTGTTGATTTTTTGAACGACGGTAGAAAACAGTGTGTTTGCCCTGTCTTTATTTCCAGTTAGAACAAACATATCAGTTGATTTTTTTTGTATTCCAAAGACACGCGAGCTCTGCAACATCATCGCTCAGCGTCAATTCCTATCAGCTATCCATTCAAGATAATTTTAAGCATTAAATAAATGCAGATTTAAACTAAAGGAAATTATAAAATAGTAAAGTGGTAATGTGGTAATGCAATCGTAAAATATTCTATAATATGCAAATACCACACATAGCCAAAAATAATAACTAAATATGAGTGTAAATTATCAAATAGAAAATGGTACCAACAACTGCAGAAGCTGAGAAGATGGGTCCAGTGTTACAACCTACCCCGGTTAGCGGGGTAGGTGGTAACAAAGGAACACCATTTATTTGACATTAACTCATGAAGTCTGTGATATTCTTGCAGGGGTTGGAATTGGTGCCATTTGTAATAAACAAATGTGTGTATTTTATATAAAAGCTAGAAAACTCTAGCTCAAATATTCTGAGAGTTAAAGGTGCTGGAGCAAAAAGTGTTGCAACCATACCCGGTCGCCCCTATAATGGGACACTTGGGACACAATAGTATTAGGGAATATGCTGGTCAAATGTCCCCTTTCAGACCTCTGACAGACACTCTGTGATGGCATGCAATGGGGCAGTTGCCTTACATTTTCCAAATATAAATTTATTCCAAGTGTCCTAAAATCCAGAAATTGGGAAACTTCAAATGTAGTAGTATTAGGGAAAATGTCCGGCAAATGTCCGCTCGCCATCGGACATTTGTCCCCATGCAAAGGGACATTTGCCTGACATTTTTATATACCAAGCATCCCAAAATCCAGAAAATGTGACACTTGGCACACAGTAGCATTAGGGAATACTACACACAATGTAAACGTCGTGGCCGGAATCGTCCCTTCCGGCCCTCTGGGTCCGGGTGACATCCGGCCACTGGAGAGGGACACGAGGGAACATTCGGGACATCTGGACCATGCTGTAACCCTCCTGTCCCGTCCCCTGGGACATTTGGGAAACATCCGGCCACCAGAGAGGGACACGGGGGAACATTCGGGACATTGGGCTGAAAATGTCAGGACATTTGGGAATATTGTTTCCCAAACATCAAACGGGCCATTAAGGAAGAATCGGGACACCCGAGGTGCATTCCAGGCAACACCTGGTGGGCATTTCAGGTACTGGGACATTAGGGAACATTTTACCCGATTTTCAAAAAATCCCTGTGCGGCCCCCGGGCACGCTAAAAATATGCCGCCAACACCCGGGGAATCTGCCAGGGCCAAGGCGGAAGCTGGAAAATCTTTTCAACGGAGCGGCGCCCGGGACATAGCGGACGAATGGACCATATGCCAAAAGTCCCGGAAGTCCGTAGAGAGTGGAATACTAATTAACCCATCAGATAAAAATCAAATGAACATTTTGCCAAATAAAACAAAAAACTTGCCATCGGAGCCAGCAGTATTTCACACACGGCTATGCCGAGAGAGGGCTGCTGCAGACGGGTTAAAGGGCTGGGTATACTCCCACAGCAGTGTGTTGCAGTGAGCTTGTTGCAGGTATGACGCAGACATTTTTGATTTATGCTCAATGTAAAAGCGTCGTCTGCGCTGTGTTATTCCATGCCACAAAGCAAGAGGGACTTGCGTTAATCTAAAAGTGCTTCTAGTTATTATGTCCTCCCCATACAGTCCATGTTGGTGTAGAACTGCCTTCACCCCTGACAGAAACACTGGTGTCCCTGCAGCTTTCACTTCAGAGCAGATCTGGAGCCTTTGTTATTCCTTGTATATTCCTGGAGAACTTTAACAGTAATTTTGGGTCAACTGGAAATAAAAAAAAATGTTTAAAGGCATCTTTTAAAACCCAACACTGATATAACCTTCCTGACCTTGATGGCTGCATTTTAACTTCAGCCTGGAACAGTTTTTAATGATTGTCTAACACTATGAAAGTAGCTGAATTCCTCCTTTTTCTCTTCCTGCGTGTCTTATGGACATTACTTTTACTCTGTGGTATCTGGGTCCATCCTCTCCGCACTTCTAATGTAAAGAAATAATAATTTTTTAATCTGTTGCCGGTTTTTTGCTGGCTGGCTGAGGAAAAACAAAGCTTTGGTGGATCTATGTGAGGAGCTTTGGAGAATCTATCTCTAACTGTAGATAAAAAATGTCTGAAGACAAATTGGAAAAATTCAATCATTAAATTATCCTTGGTTTACAAGAACAATGCAGCTTTATGTGGTCGTTTATAGTTATACTACTTTATGATTTAGGTAAAATACCTTGTCTTCCAATTTTAATTTAATTTTTTTTGTTTTTACAACATCCCTGGCTCTTTTTTGGACAGTAAGCTGTCAATAAAGGGGGTATGAAATTGAATTGAAATTAAATTGAAATTGAATTGAATTGAATTGATTGTATGAGAGAGGGGGAGAGACATGCAGCAAAGGACCACTGATCGAACTCGATCCCAGGTTGACCGGGGCGAGGACTAAGGCCTCCATACATGGGTCATGTCGATAACCACTGCACCACCAATGGACGCCCCATGAAGTCTTCAATTTTTACCCCCTTGTTGCTTATTGCTGCAACCATGCACCAACCCATTTGTAATACGCAAACAGAAATATAGTACGCGCATTCCCCATTTGGCAAGCCCCTTTTTCTTTTTCACAGCCTGTTATTGGGCGTTACCTAAGCTGATGCTGGTCTTGGTGGGCTCTGGTCCCCTCGTGCCGCCTCTGGGTGAGGATATGTCCACTGCCATGGTCCTGGGTTTTCCATGCCGCCCCATTGGCGCCTGGGTGTGGAGGTCGCCTGTCTTCTGGCCTCATCGATTCTTTGGCGGGCTGTTTCTGTCCATTTCAGTGTGCAGTCTGTGTGTGTGTGTGTGTTCCAAACGTGGGTTGGGTTGGCCTTTGGTTGAGGGTGGCATATCTTCCACCTTGATGTAGACATAGGACTTGCTTTAGTCATTTCCTGATCTGGCTGGCGCTTATCCGGGCCTGGGGGTGCGTCGGGCTATGTCTCATTTTGTGCCCCATGGCTCACATCTTTGCTGAGGGCTGGTAGTCTCTATTCCTGTTTGTGGATGGGTAATGTAGCTGGGGTTGGTATTTGAGTCTGCTCCTAGTCCTCAGCACCTCATTCTCTTGCGGAGGGTGTAGCAGGGTCATTAATTATTTTCTAAATTAAGGCCTTAATTAATTGGTTATAGAGATTTTTACTGCCAAATTTTTTGGTTTACATGTTTTACTTTGTATTATGCAATTTTTTGTTATGAGTCTTACTTTGAAAGGCTTCTTTAGGAAGTGTGGAATCTAGCATGTTCGCTGAAAAACTAGAAGAAAAGGATGCACACAGCATGAAGGCATGACATTTGCAAGAAGTTTTACAGAGAAATTTTAGTTTAAAAGGTCCTTTATTTCTCATTTCTACCTCAAAAGGAAGGGTCAGCCAGCGAGGTATGTTTATATGTATTTATATAATTTTTTATGTCATTTTGTACTCATGAAACCATCTCATTTAAGTTTATGTTGTATTTTAGTTCGACGGTGGTTTTGGTGTCAGTGGAAAATAAATTATAAGAAGAATTTTAATAAAGCTGACTTCACACCAGCAGTACCGAACTCTTTATTGCCGTCAAGAAGAGGTGGAAGTGATAGTCGAACTCGGAGCTGCATGATTCCCGGCCCTCTGGTGGACACATCGCGTCATTGCACCAAAGACCAAGCTGCTGCAAAATTAATGGACACACGTTCATCTGTTGCTTCTTCATAAAGACGTGCAGAAGCCAGACATTTAAGTTAATGTTTGGGAAGTGACACAAGGAGGGAGTAACAACAAGGAACTGTGTGAAGCCTGACAACAACAGCACAAAAGGTAACGGGAAGGGAAATAATGCAACAAAGTTCAAAGTGAATTTAAGTCAAGTTAAAAGGAGATTTTCACCAAGTAAAAATCCATAACATTCCAAGTAAAACAAAATGTCAGAAACAAATGAAACAGAAACACTTGCTGATGCAGAAAAGGCTGCCGTAGGTGAGCAAGTAGATGAAACCTTTTTAATTCAATCTGGGCAAGAAGAGCTGCGTAGGAGTGAAAGACCTCGCATGCTAACAGGAAAAGGAAGAGAATTCCATAAAAAAAACTACAGGTGTTACAACGTCACTTTGAAAGCACTTATGACAGATGGAAAGCATTAATTAAAGTTGCTAAAAAATCTGTTATTAAAGGAGATCCTGTTGACATCCTTGAAGATCACATGGACATTGTGCAAAGAGAACTAGCTGCTCTTAATGATATTTATGACCAATACAGAGCAAAGGATGGACCACCTCATAATATGCGTTCCAAGTTAGACAAATGTACATCAGTGACTAAAGTAGTTTTGCAAAACATCCAGTGCCATGTTGAGGGAACAAATAAGGAGGAGATTGTTTGGCCTGATGCCAGTTCTGTATTTACATCTTCTAGCTCAGCTAGTGTCTCAGTTCATAGTCTGTTTAAATCATGTTCAGCTGTTTCTAATGGCTCCTCCGCCAAAAGACAAGAAGCTGCAGCGGAGTATGAAGCCACAAAGGCTGTGCTTAAGATAATGACTGAACAAGAGAAATTCAGAGAAAAAATCCAAACCATAGAAGAAGAAGACAAACGCATAACTGCAGAACAGCAAGCTGCTGTGATGTCACAACTCCAGCTAGAGGAAAGAGAGGAATCAGAACGCAAGTTGAAAAGAGAAAAAGAAAAGGCAGCTGTGATAAAGAGACAACAAGAGGAAAGTGCTGCAAGGAGAAAGTCAGTCGAGGACTTAAAAAGGGAAATTCAAAGACTGGAAAATCTGAAAGGACTCAATGCAGCAAAGGCAAAATTACAAGTTTATGAAGAGGACTACTTTTCAGTAAAGCAAGAAAGCATCACTCCAAGTCCTGCAAACATACAGGTAACTGAGTTCAAGAACACTGCTAATCAACCCACACAGCCACCACAACAGTTAAATGTCATCCATGAGAGCACAGGTGAGCTTGTAAAGGTTTTGGCAGAAGCTATGTCAGCTAATAGGCTACCTATTCCAGAACCCTCAGTATTTAGTGGGGATCCACTTAAGTTTAAACATTGGAAAGCATCCTTTCAGACTCTAATAGAGAGAAAGAACATCCCCATTGCAGAAAAGATATTTTTCCTACAGAAGTATGTAGGTGGATGTGTTAAAGAAGCCTTAGAAGGCTATTTTCTGATTGGCTCTGAAGATTCCTATATAGCAGCATGGAATATGCTCAATGAACGTTATGGAGAGCCTTTTGTCATCGCTAAGGCATTTAGGGACAAGTTGCACACATGGCCAAGGCTCCAAGGTAAAGATAGTGCAGAGTTGAGAAAGTTTGTGGATTTTTTACAAAGCTGTCAATCTGCAATGACTACTAATGAGAATCTGAACGTCCTCAATGATGGGATAGAGAATCAAAGACTTGCTGCTAAACTGCCAGACTGGTTGAGCAACAGATGGAACCGAAAGGCTACAGAGTATCAGCTGGAGCACAGACAGTTCCCCCGTTTCAGTTACTTTGTAACATTCCTGTCAATGGAGGCAAGTATTGCATGTAATCCCATTACATCATATCAAGCTATAAGACAAAGTGAATTTGACAAACCAAAGACAAAACCTCAAATTACACCCATTCACAAGAAACAAGATACAGCAAAAATCTTCACAACTAACTCTACAGAAAGAAGCATGGGTTATTGTGTGTTTTGTAAAAGAGCAGGACACAGCTTATACAAATGTCGTAAGTTTACTGAGAAACCAGTTACTGAGAGAATCAAGTTCATTCAAGGTGAAAAACTATGTTTTGGCTGTTTAAATAGTGGTCATTTCTCCAAGAACTGCAGCAACCGAATGACATGCAACACATGCTCCAAACGACATCCCACATGTCTGCATGAAGAAAGACAAAGACAAGAGACAAAGAAAGAACAACCGAAAGACCAAGAAGCAGCTGAACGGAAGGAAACTCAGCAACAGGTAACACAGTCACAAGACGCAGTTAACGAAATTACATCTAACAGAGTGACTCATGAAAGTAGAAACACACAGACATCTGCAATAGTACCTGTTTATGTATCCACACAAAATGAGCCAAGCAAAGAAATACTTACCTACGCTCTGCTGGACACACAGAGTGATTCATCTTTTATTCTCAATGAAGTAGCAAACAATCTGGACACAGTTAAAACCCAGGTTAAGCTAAAATTATCTACGATGTCATCCAAGAAAACAATTGTACCATGTACAAAGCTTGAAGCTCTGCAAATAAGAGGATTGTTTTCCAAAAAGAAACTCACTGTGCCAATTGCTTACACACGTGATTTTATACCTGCCAATCGTAGCCATATTCCTACTCCAGACACGGCAAGGTCATGGCCACATTTGGAACATCTCTCTGAATACATTGCTCCACCATTGGACTGTGAGATAGGACTCCTGTTAGGCTACAACTGTACACAAGCTTTAATGCCCAGAGAAGTCATATGTGGTGAAGAAAACCAACCTTATGCCCAGAAAACAGATTTGGGCTGGAGCATCATAAGTTACTGTGATTTAGTTGATGCAGGCAGCGATGTTATTGGAGTAAGCCATCGCATCACTGTAAAGCAAGTAATACCAGAGACTGAGCCAACCATGAAGCTAAAGAATAAGGTTCATTACATCTGCAAGACACAAGTAAAAGAAGTAACAGGACCAGATGTAATCAAAGCTCTTGAAGCAGATTTTACAGAGAAAGCAGTGGAAGAAACAAGCATTTCACAAGAAGATGTCTGCTTCATAAGAAAGCTACAAGAAGGAATAAAACAAAAGCAGGATGGACATTTTGAAATGCCCCTGCCTTTCAAAAACGACAGACCAAATCTTCCCAACAACACGTCATGTGCAATGCAACGCTTAAGCAGTCTCAAACGCAGATTCATAAGGGATCAAAGGTACTACTCTGATTATGTAAGGTTCATGGAGGACATTATTGCAAGTGGTGACGCAGAGAAAGTGCCACAGAAAGAACTCTGTAATTCCCCTGCCTGGTATATTCCCCACCATGGGGTATACCACCCTCAAAAGCCTGGCAAGATTCGTGTAGTTTTTGACTGCTCTGCACAATATCAAGACACTTCGCTAAATGAACACCTGCTTACAGGGCCTGACCTCACAAACACTTTAGTGGGAGTACTCTGTAGGTTCAGGAAAGGATCAGTGGCTGTAATGTGCGACGTGGAACGTATGTTTCACCAGTTCCATGTAACGCCCCAAGACCAGGATTATTTACGCTTCCTATGGTGGGAGCATGGTGATCTAAGTGTTCCCCCCTCAGTCTATCGCATGAAGGTTCACCTGTTTGGTGCAGCTTCTTCACCTGGTTGTGCCAATTTTGGTTTAAAACATCTAGCCACACAAGGTGAGGGAAAGTTCTCTCCAAACACAGTGAAGTTCATTCAAAGAAATTTTTATGTAGATGATGGACTTGTAAGTGTTAAATCTGAAGCAGAAGCAATCAAATTAGTAAAAGAAGCAAGAGAGCTGTGTAGCACAGGCAAATTAAGATTACACAAATTTGTTTCAAACAGTGACAATGTGTTAAAGTCGCTGCCCAGAGAGGAGTGTGCTGACAGTGTTAAAGATTTGGATCTAGCACTTGGAGAGCCACTGATGGAAAGAGCACTTGGTGTTATGTGGTGCATCTCTTCTGATGAGTTTCAGTTCAGGATAACAGTCAAAGAGCACCCAATGACAAGAAGAGGAATCCTGTGCACAGTAGCATCAGTGTATGATCCACTGGGATTTGTGGCACCCTTCATCCTTAAAGGAAAACAAATCTTGCAACAGCTATGTCAAGAAAAGGTTGGATGGGATGAGCCTCTTTCGGATCAACTCTACAGAGAGTGGGAATCCTGGCTCCTAGATCTTCAAAACTTGTCAAAGGTGAGAATCCAAAGATGCATACTACCTGAAAACAGAGACATCACACAGTGTGATTTACATCATTTTTCAGACGCCAGTGTGACAGGCTATGGACAATGTAGCTACTTAAGAACAGTCACATCCAAAGGAGATGTTCACTGTGTGCTAGTCATGGGAAAGGCACGCGTTGCTCCAACCAAAGTCACCACTGTCCCTAGACTTGAGTTAACAGCTGCAGTAGTTGCAGCAAGAACAAGTGTAATGCTAAGAAGGGAACTGGAGATCAGCAATCTTCAAGAACATTTCTGGACAGATTCTAAAGTGGTGTTAGGATATGTGAATAATGATGCCAAAAGATTTCATGTGTTTGTGGCAAATAGGATTCAAATAATAAAATCACTCACAGACCCACAGCAGTGGCATCATGTACCATCTGAGAATAATCCTGCAGACCATGCATCAAGAGGATTAAGTGTCCAACAGCTTCTCAAATCTAACTGGTTTAAAGGACCAGAGTTTTTGTGGCAAAATGAACTACCCCTTGAAACTGACAAGATAAGTGAAGTTGTTTCTAATGACCCAGAACTGAAAGCCGTACATGTGCTCAAAACAGAAGTACAAGAAAAGAGAACAATACTTGATCGTCTCAACAAATTTTCTGATTGGAGAAGAGCTGTTAAAGCTATTGCTCGTTTAAGGAAATTTGTGAAAGATTTTAAAGGAGACACACAAACAAAAGGTGGAAGCACATGTGTTGAGGACAGACGAGAAGCAGAAATGTTCATAATAAACTTGCACAAGGAAACACTTTCAGCAAGGAAATCAAGGACTTAACCCAAGGAAAGGACATTCAACTCAAGGATAAGACACACAGGCTGTATAGCTTAAACCCATTTGTTGATGAGCAAGGAGTACTCAGGGTGGGAGGACGTTTAACAAGAGCAAGTCTGCACCCATACATCAAACATCCTGCCATTATTCCCAAATCAAGTCATATGTCATCTTTACTGATTAAACACTTCCATGAGAAGGTGCAGCATCAAGGAAGAGGAATTACTGTAAATGAGCTGCGTTCCAATGGACTGTGGATCACAGGATGCAGCAGTGCAGTTGCTTCACACATCTTCAAGTGCACAACCTGCAGGAAGTACAGGAGGCATACCCAAGATCAACAGATGTCAGACTTACCAGAGGACAGAATGGAAACAACACCCCCATTCTCTTACTGTGGTGTTGACTGTTTTGGACCTTTTTATGTAAAAGAAGGCAGAAAGGAACTTAAAAGGTATGGTCTTTTGTTTACATGTATGTGTTCCAGGGCAATACATATTGAAATGTTAGATGACCTTACTGCTGATGCTTTTATTAATGCATTGCGTTGTTTTATTTCTATTCGTGGATATGTAAGACAGATCAGGTGTGATCAAGGGACTAATTTTGTTGGTGCTAAAGGAGAGTTTTTGAATGCACTGAAGGACTGTGACAAAGAACAGTTGAAACAATATGGATGTGAGTTTGTTCTGAACACCCCATCTTCAAGCCACATGGGAGGTGTTTGGGAGAGGCAGATTAGGACCATTAGAAGTGTTTTAACTGCTATTCTTGATAAAACTTCTAAGAGACTTGATAGTTCTTCCCTCAGAACGTTTTTGTATGAGGTGATGGCTATTGTGAATAGCAGGCCGCTAACAGTAGAAAACCTAAGTGATCCAAGTTTAGAGCCTCTTACACCAAATCATATTCTCATGATGAAGTCTGGTGTTATTCTGCCCCCTCCTGGTGAATTTGTGAGCCAGGACTTGTACTTGAGAAAGAGGTGGCGCCAAGTTCAGTTTTTAGCCAATGAATTCTGGACAAGGTGGAAGAAAGAATATCTTCTTAATCTTCAGCAGAGACAAATCTGGCAAAGAGACAAAAGAAATGCAAAGGTGAATGACATTGTTATTCTTCAAGAGGACAATTCTCCAAGGACCAAGTGGAAACTTGCAAGAGTAACAGATGTATATCCAAGCGCAGATGGAAGGATCAGGAAGGTGAAACTGTTGTTAGGTGATTCGACCTTGGATAAGAATGGACTAAGGACTGTCAAGCCAGTGTATCTTGATAGACCAGTTCATAAAACTGTGTTGTTGCTGGAAGCACAGTAAATGTTAAAATGTAAATATATTCCTATTGCAATGTTACATGTTTGAAGTTAAATCACTATAGGTTAGTGATTTGGTGGGAGTTTTACTGCCATATTTTTTGGTTTACATGTTTTACTTTGTATTATGCAATTTTTTGTTATGAGTCTTATTTTGAAAGGCTTCTTTAGGAAGTGTGGAATCTAGCATGTTCGCTGAAAAACTAGAAGAAAAGGATGCACACAGCATGAAGGCATGACATTTGCAAGAAGTTTTACAGAGAAATTTTAGTTTAAAAGGTCCTTTATTTCTCATTTCTACCTCAAAAGGAAGGGTCAGCCAGCGAGGTATGTTTATATGTATTTATATAATTTTTTATGTCATTTTGTACTCATGAAACCATCTCATTTAAGTTTATGTTGTATTTTAGTTCGACGGTGGTTTTGGTGTCAGTGGAAAATAAATTATAAGAAGAATTTTAATAAAGCTGACTTCACACCAGCAGTACCGAACTCTTTATTGCCGTCAAGAAGAGGTGGAAGTGATAGAGATATTTAAAACGGTTTAAACGTTTATAAAAACAATTTCGTCAGATAGATTAGATATAACTGATTCCACGTTTTCACGGAACTGCTTCTGGTTGATTGTAAAGCCGTATGTTCAGATTAGAAGCTCGAGGTGGAGAAAAGGCTAGAGAATGGGGAAATGCAAAATTTCAACAAAAGTGGCTGGAAAACGAAGAATTCGGGACGTGGCTGCAGCTTGTCGACGGTAAAGATGACAAAGGATTTTTTTCGTGATATATATATATATATATATATATATATATATATATATATATATATATATATATATATATATATATATATTATTACATTAGGGATGGAACGGTTTATGAAAACCGTCCGAACCGTTTGGTTCGACTGTCTCGGTTCAGTTCGCGTGTGTTGCGTTCGGTTCATGCGCTGCTCCTTTTTCTCATAGGCGAAGCGTGTACACTCCAGAGCAGAAGGTGGCGGTACTGCGACCAAAACCAACCACCAGTAGTAAACAAGAAGAAGCGAAGCAGCGTAGCCGGGTGTAGCAGAAAAAAATCAGTTGTTGTGGAGAATTGTGTGGGTATGGCGAGTGGGAAAGAACAGGAGTTGGAAATAGGGTGGCCAGATGTCCAGCTTTAGGGCGGACAATCAATCCGCCCTTAAGCTGCGAATCAATGCACTGTCCGGCCTCCGGACAGTGCATTGATTCTAGAGCGTATCTCACAACTTTAAAAGAAAATTCTTATTGCAGGAATGGATAAGGAGATGATGGGTTTGGAAGCAGAGAACAAACAGAGTTCATACAAACTATTGATGATCCTGTTTATCCCTGTTACAAAAATCCACAGAAAATATTTTGGCAGAAACTGAACATCTGCTGGATGATGATGGGGATTTTTTTAATATGTCATATTAAATTAAACGTTCACAGGGTTTATACAGGAATAAGGAACTCTAATTTAATGCTAATAGAAATAATTTTAATGCCATCAAAAAGTACCATGTACACAAGTTATTAGTTTACATGAAATAAGGAGCTGTAAGCACAGTTCCATGACTGAAGTTTGTATATATATCTATATATATCTATATATATATCTATATAGATGTATATCTATATAGATAGATAGATAGATATATAGATAGATAGATAGATAGATAAATAGATAGATAGACTTTTTGAAATTTGTATCGTCCTATTCTCTAGCTCTTTCTCCGCCTCGAGCTTCTTTTCCAAACAACTGCTTTATGATCAATTGCAGCAGTTCTGCGCAAATTAATCGTGTCAATCATCTCTTTAATATTTTGTTCTATTCAGCTACACAAGCATCATCTTTAAACTACTAAGAATTGTACTATAAATTTGACTTTACCTGATTCTTATGTACACCTTAGTAATTTATTGATATGCTGCACAATGTCCTCCTTTTTGGTGCTATAGAAATGGCCACCCTAGTTGGAAGACGCGCCAGCAGCACTTTATAGGTCTGCTGTATGGGACCACTTTGCATTTAGAGTGACCTACGATGACGGCGGAAAGAAAGTTGTGGATAAAAACAGTGTGCAAGCATTGTGCAACACGCGTTGTACAAGACATAATAGATTTTCCTGACAATAAACATATACCGAACCGAAAACCGTGACCACGAACCGTGAACCGAACCTTGGATTTTGTGAAGTTTTTCTTAAGGGCTAGTTATACTCCTGCAGCAGTGTGTCGCAGTGAGCTTGATACAGACATTTTTGATTTATGCTTAATATTGAAGTATGGTCTGTGCTACACGCTGTGGGTCTAGATACGGACGAGGCGGAGTGAAAGTGGGGGCGAGTTTAGTTCGACAACGAAGGGACATGAGGGCGAAAAAGAGCGGAGATCCTTGTGGAAAAGGGTCCCAGGTTTCTCGCACACCTCTTTCTTCTAGCTGGTCAAACTTCGGTTAAATTTTGTTCATAAAAACAAAACAAGCCGGCCCCTGCCTGCGGCACTCTCTGCGGTCAGCTACAATTTGGGAGAGGTGAAGCTGAGTGCCTGCGGAGGGGGCGGGGACAGCTTTTTGTTCACTGCGACAACTACACAGAGGACCTGGTTTCAAAGTATAAATCAGCCTTTAGTGTGAGGGATTGCCTTCGAGTCAATGAGTCGATGCAATCAAGTGGTTTTCCTTACATAGAAAACTGAATCAATTTCACTGGAAGATCTGCTTGAATTGTAAAGTGCCTTGAGATGACTTGTTGTCATCGGTATATAAATAAACTGAATCAAAATTAAATTGAATTAATAATAACATACCCAAAAGTTTACGAATTTAAACAAGGTGAAACTTGAGACTTGAGTCCGAGCCTAAATATCCTTTAGCCAGAAAGGTTAAGAAAAACATTCACTATATTGTACCCAGGGGCGTGCATACATAGACACTAGGTGGTGCTAAAGCACTAGGAAGTTTGCCCTTTATCAACGAAAATGCCCTTTTGAAACTCGTTCTTTTTTTTTTATTATTATTATTAATATTAAGATTTTACTGAGGTCGGGTTTGAAATTATCTTTTGAAAACCTGAGCCATTAAAAACGACTGAAACAATGCCCCGAAATGAGCCACCTCCTTGCGTACACCCGACCAGCCTATCTCTCTCACTTTGTCATGTGAACTCGTGCGGTCACCCGCAGGGCATGCCAGATGCGCAGCATCATAGCAGTTCAGTAAGCGTCTTCAGATAGCAGGAACGGTCACTGACAGGCTGCTTCTCCCGTGCCCCATTAGCCAGGTAATATACAAATCAAGCAAAATCATTTTGTTGTGCATTAAAATGTCTCATTCAGCAGCACCAAACAGGCCTTTTTGCAGACTGGTCACCTGATAACTATGGAGGACCAACTCTGCCATATTTAAAAATAAATACAGAAATAAATAAATGCTCAATAAATAAATAAGCATACTATTAATTGCCAACAAAAATACAATAAACAAATAAATGTAAGTAGAAATTAAATTATACAGTGAGACATAAATGTATATAACTCTTTTAATTAGCTTCTTTATTTATTTGCCTTTGTAATATTTACCTTATTTATTTTTTTGTGCATGTTATAATATTTTTGTCTGTTTTATTCTTCCTTTGTATGTTTTTTTACCTTGGTTATTTCTTCGTTTGTTTATTTCTGCCTGCCCTTTTT